CTGGCGTGCTTTTGAAGTGCTAGGTTGGCAGGAGCTGGGACAGAGCAACGGGAGCTCACCCCATCACGGGGATTCGAACCGACGACCTTGCAATCGGCAAGCCCAAGAGGCGCAGTGGTTTAGACCACAGCGCCACCCTGAGCCATGGGCTTGCCGATCAAAAGGTTGGTGGTTCAAATCCCCGCGATGGGGTGAGCTCCCTTTGCTCTGTGCCTGCTCCTGCCATCCTACCACTGTAGGGGGAAAAGAGGGAGAAAATAAAAGCCAATTTAAAATACAGGTTAAAATGCAGCCTCATTTTGAAATAGCTGATAAATGAAGACCATAAGGGATGGGAAACATAAGGGTCAGACTGAGTCCAAACCAAAGGCCTGATGGAACAGCTCTGTCTTGCAGCCCTGCGGAAAGATGTCAAGTCCCGCAGGGCTCTAGTCTCTTGTGACAGAGCGTTCCACCACGTCGGGGCCAGTGCTGAAAAGGCCCTGGCCCTAGTTGAAACCAATCTAACCTCCTTGAGGCTCGGGACCACCAACGTGTTGTTATTTGTGGACCTTAAGGTCCTCCGCGGGCATACCAGGAGAGGCGGTCCTGTAGGTACGTGGGTCCTAGTCCAACCCTGTGCAACGCAGGTATCCTTTGCCCAACGTGGGGCTCGAAGCCACGATCCTGAGACTAAGAGTCTCATGCTCCACCGACTGAGCCCTTTCCCACAAAAGAAACAGCTGCTTAAGTAACGCTCAAATGGTGCTGCAGTGAACTGGATGTGTGCAAAGCCAGAAACCTGCTTGCTGACCAGAAACAACTGGTTTGAGAGGTGTGTGTGTTTGTGTGTGTGGGAAGAGGCCGTCCCATTGGTGTCCATCTTCCTTGATCCCTTGCCTGCCAACCAGGAGGTGGTGCTTCCCAGAGGTGCAGTATCCAGAACCCATTCTTGACCTCATGGAGATGCTGGATCACTTCCTGCCACTGAAGGGGAAAGCTCCTGCATGCATGGTTTTCCTGTGTGTGCATCTGCACACTGGGTGCGCAGCTTTAAAACTGTGCCCCCATTTCCCATTCGTAAGCTCCCCATCTGCGCCGCTGGTTTTTGTTCTCGCTTTCCCGACTTTTTAAAGAAACAAAGCAGGCTATAAATCTAAATGCAATCAATCCACTTGCTTGGGGGAAATCTCCCAAAGGTGCAGAGGACATCCATTCTGGGTCTCTTCTTCCCTCAGAGGGGGGAAAAAAGGCCACACAAGTCCCTGAACAGATTACCTTTTCTGCCTGTGTGTCTCTGGCTCCCCGGGGAAGTCGATTGCCAAAACCAGCCTCGCTTTCCAGTCAAGCACCTCCCTGAAGAAAAGGCAAGGCTGGTGATGTCAAGGCCCGTTTAACTTGTTGCAAGTGTGTCTTGCATCCTGCAGCTGGAAGCCGAGGCGAGAGACTCCCTGAGCAGTTATAGCTGCTCCTGCAAACCCAATGGGGATGAAGACTTTGTCATGTAGCAGCGAACCTTTCAGTAAACAACACGGCTCCTTCCCTTGGAAAAAAATCAGCCAGCTTTCTTGCTCATACCTAGAGACAGAGATGCTACGCGATCCGACACGAGAAAACCTTCCTGCTATCCGAAAACTCAAAACGCTGTTTCAGACTGTATCTAGGTGTCTCGCACTCACACCAGCGATGCATTAAGAAGAGGTGGGGGGGTGAAGCGAGAAGAACCAGTTTTCAAAAGGACACGCCGCCATTTTCTTTTTGCCTGACTTTAAAACCACTGCTAAGAAATGACTGTGTTGGGTCAAAGTGAAGTTTCACTTTGCCTCTGGAACCAGTGTGGGAAACTTGTGGCCTCCCAGGTGCTGCTGAACTACAACTCCCATCATCCTTCAACACTGGCCTTGCTCGCTGGGGTTGATGGGAGTTGTAGTTCAGTAACATGTGGACCACCAATGGTTCCCCGATATGTCTTAGAAGACGTGGAGTAACAGTTACTCCAGAATCTGGTGAGCGGAGGCATGAGGTTTCCATTTTTGTGTGACTGACACCTAAAAGCTATTCATAGACCTACCTGCCATGTATCTGCCTAATACTCTTTTTCCAAGCGGGGGAACAGGCTGCTGGAGTCAGCATAGGGTACGGGTTCAAGTGCCAAGACTAGGACTGGCAAGACCCAGGTTCAAAGTCCCGAACATCACCCTGACATCCCTGGAGGAAAGTCAGGCTACAACTCTAATAACAACGTGTGCTTGGAGAGAAGCTAGAATGTGCTGTATTTCTAATGGCAAATGCAGCCTGGATTAAAAAGTTACCCTGGAAGTAGACTACCTGGTTGTGAACTGTCAGGGCTGCTTCAGGGCTATCGTCATTGCTTCATCTTAAAAGTCCTCGCATGCAACTCTCTTTTAACTTCTCTTTCAAGGCAGCATAGCACAACATCATGTTGGTAGCGTTTTTTTTTACTGTGCAAAATGTTCCACGTACAAAAAGGCATCAGCAAAGCTCAAGGATGCAGGCCAGCCAGGGGAAAACATTCAAGGAGAGGCAAAGCAGGACTAGTGAGGGGTGTGGCTCAGGAGGGAGTTATGGCCTGGCAAAGAGTCCTCTGGGGCTGCCTTTGGCCCTTTATGCTGTGAACTGCCCTGAGATCTACGGGTGAAGTGTGGTATACAAATAATAATAATAATACAGTGGTACCTCGGGTTACATACACTTCAGGTTACAGACTCCGCTAATCCAGAAATAGTACCTCAGGTTAAGAACTTTGCTTCAGGATGAGAACAGAAATCGTGCTCCGGCGGCATGGTGGCAGCAGGAGGCCCCATTAGCTAAAGTGGTGCTTCAGGTTAAGAACAGTTTCAGGTTAAGAACAGACCTCCGGAACGAATTAAGTACTTAACCCGAGGTACCACTGTATTACATTATTAGCTCAGTAACCCTTACCACCAACCCTGCAGGGTGAGTCAGTATTATCTGTGTACTGGAGATGGTGAAGGGAAGAGGCTGAGACAGAGAACAGAGGCAGCAGCCCAAATCGTTCCCAATTATACTGTCGCACTCAGTTATGATAACCTTACTCCCAATTTACAGTTCTTTGCATCGGCTGCCAGCTGTTCCGCCCACACCCAAAACAAGTTGCGGCTTCTTACATCTAATTACCTATTCCTTCTTCTCCTCTCCTTTTCTCCTCTAATCTTTTTTAAATTCTCCAGCTTGGTCTCTCTGTTCTTCTGATAACTGTTCTACTTGTTAATTTCTACTTCTCTTGCTCATTTGCCTCCCTTTTCCATCTTGCTTCTTTTTATCATTTGGGATTTTCCTCTCTCCTCATCTTGTGTCCTGGTGGCATACTCTCCTTTCCCCAAGAACTTTCTCAAAACCTTTTTCCCTCCTAGAAGCAACCAGCATGTCTGGAAATCAGCAAGAAATCTCGTTTATGTTCATGACACTTTTAAATTTCCTGTTTCAACTTATTCCTTTCCCCCTCTCTCCACTGTGCCTTGTTTTGTTAAGACTGTGAAGCTGTTGCCATAGACTTGCTTTGAATTTGTACCAAACCTGGCATAATATTATATGTATAATATTACTCACCGCCGTCTGACAGCAAAATTCCTCAGGGCAAGACACCAAATATACATTTCAAAAAGCAAGTCCCTGGCCTCTGCTCCGCATCTATAGAAAGTGAGTAGCAGAAAACTTATTCACAAGGGGCCCGAATACAGAAACTAGGGTGTGAAACACTCTAAACGTGACCCTGATATTCTGCTCTAGAGTCACAGTGGAGGCCCCTAAAATAGTATAACCCCAGAAAGAGCTTATTGGATTTGACAGCAGGCACGCTGTACAGCCTGAACACTACGAGAACAGCTTCAGAACTTGCATAACTCTTACGTTCTCCTCTCAACTCACCTTAACTGAGAACGTGGGGACCTATTTACAGGGGAATCTTCCATAGAGAGCGATCTCCACCACAAGTGATTGCTACTAAAATCAGAGCCAAAACGTATCCAAACTCCAAGGTTCAGGAAAGCACAACCCATCTTCAAAACATGAAACAGCCCTATGAGGAACAAACATTTGTGGTAGCTGTTGAACGCTGACTATCAGTGAGAGAAGAAAAACTAAAAATTGCCACTGGTGGTGAAAGAATGGAGAAGACGAGAATGCTCTGCAGGTATCAGGAATTCCCTGCAACATAAAACTTTGGGGATGACCCACCCACCAAGTTCATTCATCATCATCTTTTCCATCCCGCCCAAACTTATGTTCTTCCACTTATTCAAATGGCAAATTGAGACGAATGCAGCTGTTATCCAAATAATTCATATTGAGATACTGGTCATACTGTGCTGCTGTTTCCGGGAACTTCTCCTCAAGCTCGGAGCTGAAGATGGTTGTGAGCACACCTACCACCCTAAAGCTTGCTGCTTTAGGCAAAGTGAGGGGATTGGAAGAGGCTGGACCCCTGATTCTTGGTCCCAGGGGGCGTACTGAAGGGTTGGCTGGGTTGGCCCCTGCCAATGGTGCAGGCACAGGGAGGGGGACGCAAAAATCTCGTCTCCACTCTGGCCATCCATGTGCTCCCCAGGTTGCTTTTCCGAGGAAAAAGGAAGGAAAGCAGGAAGGAAGGAAACAGATGGACCAACTGACGGAGGAGAGGAGGTGCAACAGAGCAGACCCGACCCCGGTGGCCATGGAGGAGGTCATTGGCACAGCGCAAAAGGCAACTAAAAGTAAACTTTTGAGATTCTTGCCCATGGCTTCAGAGGACCAATACATCTCCTTGCCAAGGATGCAAGGGAGCCGAGGTACACCTCTGCTTGCTCCAATCTCTTTATGCAAAACTGAAGAGGGACAAGCCAATCAGGAGCATTGACCTCCTCTGCTAAGTCCAGGAGTGTTGGTGGGAAAGGTTGGCTCCCAGAACTAGCTCTTACTGAAATAGGAAACCAAAGTATCTTGGTGGCAGCTGCCCCAGTTCCTGGACTGCAAATAACATCAGCGTAAATAAAGCAGACACATAAACCAAATACGAATTTGAGGGGAAAGGTCTTTCTCTTTTTTTATATAAAAAAAAGTGAAAGAAAGCCATAAAGACAAGACAGAACAACACACAGTACAAAAGAGTAATTATATTTTCAAAAAGAAAAGGAAAGGGGGTGAAAAAAAGAAAAGCTTTACCAGTTATTTTGGAACGTCTTGCCTGTAAAAGGAAACCGGCTTAGAACGGAGAAGGACCAGAATCTTCTACAAACCAGCGGATTGGGTACAAACACTCGATAAGAATCATTTTTGCAACGCAGGACAAGAAACCTTTGACACAGTGTTCATGAACGATAAAATTTCTTTAAAAAACAAAACGAAACAGAAAAGGATGTGAAGAAATCACAGGAGTTCAGAGGAAGTAAACTAAAACAGGAAAAGAGAGATACCAAAAGAACAAAAATTCCCACAATATCTAAACAGGTAACCATCGTTCTTGGACAGCCAATTCCAAGTCCAGAGCATCACCAACAGTTCCTGAAAGCCGGTCATGGCTGTCTCCATCCTATCCAAGTCGTCCAGGGAGCGTATCCTCACACCAGCCCCATCACTTTTTTAAAGTTGCCAGTTTGTGAGAGGGGCTTGCTTTTGCCGTCCATGTACACAAGTGCTACCGAGAGAGACCGTCGTCGCCTCATGGCTGGAAGGCGGATGGAGGGATTTCACGGCGGCCGGGAGTCTCTCCCTCTCCCAAAAGTCCCGATACAAATCCCATGGATGCTCCCGTGAGTGGGCTTCATCTCATCAAGGCAGAATCATTCCCCACCCCACCCCCACATACCCCGTTGTCATTTCCGGAACAAAAGAGAGCGTCCTCCGCGCTCTGATCATGCCCGACTTCTTGTTCTGTGCTGTCGGATGCGGAGGCCATAACGTCGTCCCTTTTCCTCTCGCCTTAAATTCCATTTAGCACTGTTGGGATCTGTTGTCTCAGGCCAGCACCCGGCCAACTCCTTAAGTTCTTGACTTGGCCAAGTCAAAAGGGAAACACACAGACATTGCAGCAACAGGGATATATTAGGTTGAACAGTCCCCTTTAACCCAAAGTCCACCCCTCCCATTCGCCCCAAAGTTTATTTGCTGCTGATTTTTTGTTTCGTTTTAAAAGTCTGCACGCCTCAAAGCAGTCTCTTCCCCCACCCACCCACCCCCACAACAGAGTTAAAAGCTCCACAGGTTGCATCGTCTACCTGGTGGTCAAGGTTTGGAAAAGCAACTTGCTTCTGTTGCTACTTCCATGTTTTTTCTTTGTTTAAAAAGCCACACATACACACACAGGGTTGTGCGATGGGGTCCGGCCTTAGGATTGCTTCAGCCGCTTGCGTGGGGGTCCCAGAAAAGGGCACTGCGCAGAGGCCAACGAGCGATACGCCTCGGCCACCAGATGGGGGTGAGACACGACCATCGACTTCCATCCTGAAGTCTCCATGACGTCAGAAGCGTGGCTGGAAACAAACAACAAAGGAGCCAAGGTTACCAGTTTGGGGGGAATACACGCACACAAAAGTTGACAGTGAAAGGCAAAACACAGAGAAGGGAAGGGGAAGTTCTCAAGCTATCAATCGTATCAATACTTCTACTTTAGGGTTTCAGCAGCTGCTTTTATGTCTTGTATAAATGCCTTATCATCTGCTGTAGAAACTCTGTGGTGCAATGTAAGCAAGATGACACTACCTTGGCCTGAAACATGGGTAGGCAAACTAAGGCCTGGGGCCCGGATCCGGCCCAATTGCCTTCTAAATCCGGCCCGCAGACGGTCCAGGAATCAGCGTGTTTTTACATGAGTAGAATGTGTCCTTTTATTTAAAATGCATCTCTGGGTTATTTGTGGGGCCTGCCTGGTGTTTTTTCATGAGCAGAATGTGTGCTTTTATTTAAAATGCATCTCTGGGTTATTTGTGGGGCACAGGAATTCGTTCATTCCCCCCCCCCCAAAAAAAAACATATATAGTCCGGCCCCCCACAAGGTCTGAGGGATAATGGACTGGCCCCCTTCCGAAAAAGTTTGCTGACCCCTAGCCTGAAAGAATCGAGGCTGCTTCAGGGGCTATTCCCCCCCCCCACTTGACCCCAAGTCAGAGGTGCTGGTTTTGCATTTAGCAACTCACCATTCAGACGCAATGGGTGTGACATCTTTAAGAACTCAAGCAGTTCTAAAAGAAACATCCAATTCATCCAAGAAAGAGAAAGAGAGAGGGTATTTTGCACTGTATGTCCACTGCAGAACACACCCGTCTTCTCTTCTCTTACAGGATTTGCTTTCGAGGCTCCTTGTTTGTTTCTCTTGGGATGCTTAAGAGAGAAAGAATATGAATGGAGCTACCACTGTCCCCCTTGGCAGAAAACAGTGGGGCAGAGTGCCCTTTCAGTAAAGTGCCTTCCACACTCCTTGCAGGAGGAGCATGCAACAGCCACTACTTGATTCTCCAGCACAAGGGCAAAAAGGGAAGAAATTATGTTTGATAAAAAAGAAGCTGTAGATGAGCCAGCGAGAGAAACCAAAACAGAGGATGTGGAATAATTTGGGTTTTTTTGGTGCACCAATTTTAGCTGGTTATGAGAGTGCTTGAACACAAATACAAGAGGTGCAATGGGGCTTTGCTCTCTAGGGTTCTTACTTTGTCAATTTCCCCACATTCTGAGGGGAGAGGGGGAGAAAGGATAAAACCTGCTTACTAGTTGATGAAGTCAACCGCCTGAGTTTTTAACTGGTCAGCGCTGTGTAGATCAGCCAAGATGAGGATCTCCGCTGCATTTTCTACGGACAGGTTGCTGCACAGAGCATCCTCGCACATCACCTTCAAGCGTTCCAAAGCATACTTAAAAGAAAAAAGAGTACAGAGAGGTACTGAAATGAGCTTGCCCTGAAAGAGGAAGACCCAAATGAGGCTGTGCTGTGGTGGCAAAACTCACTACAGGTGGGTTTTAGCACCGCTATTTTGAATGGCTTTTGTAGGCGTGGTGCTCCACTTCCCTTAATCCTATAAAGTCTCTGTGCTAGCAGTCTTCTCCTTGTTGGAGCAAACATTCCAAGTCTTGCATAGTGCTTCTGTAACTATAGCATAGCACTGATACACGCAATGTGTATTGTACTGTATTTTTATTTTTCAATTATTCAGTAGTAATGTTTGGAAGCACAATATTCGGGAGGAAGAGAGATGCATATTCTGGGCAATTGTCAGCATATCTCACCAAAGTCTGAAGCCTTCTGGCTGGGGAGAAAAAACAACGAAGAGATATCTTAAGTTCTTTTGCCAAAAACACACATAACGAGTGCCAAACTGGAGAAGCAGAATTATGTAAATTGTAGTAGGTAATCTGCATAACTTAATTCTGCTTGCAGAGCTTGGGAGGGCTCAGCAAAGAGAACACACAAGCCCAAGCAGCTGGACGAAAGGTCAATGGAGTCTGGATCTTTAGGTACAACAACATCCTTTTCCATCTTCCTCAATAAACACTTCTGAAAGACAAAGCCTAACTCTCTAATCGCATCTTCACCCAAGAGCCCAATGGCAGGTCTCCAGGGTTTAGGATATGCACTGTGTTTTGTTTATAGTATAATTACGTATTTTCCCCAAGAGACTGGAGGAAGACAGAACAAGCTGTTCCCAAGCCTCTTGTGCAAATATTAAGAGGCTTCATGTGCTGCCATAAAAGGTTTTGCTTTCTGTTCTTATACAGACACCCTGGAAGGATTAGGGGGTGGGGAAGAGCTATATAAAAAGTCACAATTGAAGACCCCCTAAACCTTGCTGTCTGATCAATGGGCTGGAGAACTGCTGTTGCTAGGCAGGGCTGAAAATTAACTTGCCACTAAGCCATCCCCAGAGGCCAATATGGGCTTCTGCTGGGCAAGTGTGCAAGACTCACTTGGCATCTGCTGCTGCATGGTAGTATATTTTGATTTTGTGAAGGAGGCACAAATTTCTACACCCCCCCCCATTAAAACTGCGATAGTCCACCCTAAATTCCCCGTGCTACATTTCTTCCCTGCATACATACGGCAGGGGCTTTTCACTGCGATTCTATTAACGACTTGAACCAAGCATTGGAAATTCCAATTCAGAGAAGCCCAGCTTCTTCACCTCTGCCCTTTTGCCCCAACCTGCCACACACAGGTAAGGAACAGCACAAAACCTCACAATTCAGTGGTGTAAGATGTGACCTCGAAGCATCAGCATAGCGCCCTTAACTTGCAGGTACCCCCATATTCCTGGAGTTGTGAGAGGCTGGCTCTGAGGCTTTTTCACTGAGGCAGTGAAGTCACATTTCACAGACAGACATCACATCCCTTTTAATCTGGTCCAGGGGGTGATAGTGATTTACTTAAATGGCAGTGTACAAGAATGGCACACGCTGCTCTCAACAGAGCAGGGCACCCCTCTCTCTGCGCAATGAGGGATGTACCTAAAGATTGCTGTCTCACCCTAGAAGCTTCTACAGCAGACTGTTCATCTTTCAGTGCATTCCTGCAAAGATCAGGAAGCAAGAGTTCGTCTCTATTGGCCCTGCTTCTCCTCTCGCAGGTCAACACCTTGAGGATGGGACAGACTAGGAGGAGAGGGGTTAGCAATGCCTCATGGCTGACCAGGCCCTGGACCTCTTGACAGCAGTGGGATGTGGCCCGCCTCAAGTATACAGCCACCCACAGCTTACAAATAGGCTGGGCGGGCCAAGGAAATCTCTTTGAACTGTGCCCAAAGACCCAGGAGTGAATCTGGTAAGACACCAATGGCATGTTCATGCCAGCAAGTTCCCCACAATTTCGTCTCCAGGAGACGAAAACTCCTCTGGTTTAAAAAAACCCACAAAACCAAAGGCCTAGGTATGAAGTATAAACACAATGAGGTTGAAGCCCCGGCTTCTGTGCTGGTCCCCCCCTCCCTTTTCACAAGAGGGGAAAAAAAGTCAACGGCCGGCCGGCCAGCCAAGCGTCCTGTGTACCTTATCAGCAGCTGCAAGCAAATCGTCGGCCATTTTGTCGAGGTTAGGTGCCTTTCCCGTGTAAATGAAGCACATCATTTCTTTAAAAACTTCAGGTTCCACATCGTTGATTTCAACTCGATTCTGCACCAGGGGGGAAATTAGGGTTACTCTTCTGACACTCAGGCAACAGACCCAACTGTTGGTCTCCTCCCCCAGATCTCTCTTTTTGGGGGGGGGGCAAAGTGGAACTATTTAGAGAGAACACAAATATTTGGGGAAGAAGATGCAGAAGGAACAGAAATGTTCCAGTCTCCTTTGCCTCTTCCAACTACAGAAGAGAACGTGGTGAGACTTTTCCTTAAAACTTCACTGTTCCACTGTCTCAGGCAGCGGCAAGAAGCCAGCATTTACTGTTACATAAATGCCATCACAACTGTAAAACACTGGCAGTGCAGGAGTATTAACTCCTCCTACGGTGCTTTCCAAATTTCATTTCTGGCCTGTCTTGAAGGTTCCTGGTGGTTTACAATATGCCCATCTCTCAAAGCTTAGTTTCACAACAAGGCTGCAAGGGAGGAATGGTGGGGACAGTGTATCTTGGAACGAAAGGCATCAGCTAGTAAGCTTCTCAACTGAACAAGCCTTGGACTTGCACCCAGGGCTCTAGCTCTGGCTCCCTGAAATATAAAAAACTGGAAGGCAAATGTCCACCTACAGTGAATTCTTTTCATGCAGAAATTGGAAAGGGTAAATGCCAAAATACATATTAGGGCAATGCCTTTATTAGGTCCAGCAAAATGCCGCAAGATTGATGAAGGTTTCTGGAGAACTCGCAAGCTTGCACATTATATTGTGTGATATTTTGGTTGGCCTAATAAAGGTATTCCCCGACTTGGTTTTTGTTTCCATTGGCAGTGCTTGTTCCCCAGCCATTCCTCCGGTCAAGACCTATCTATCTAAAATACAGTTCACAATGTCAGCTCTCTAGCATTCCTTCCCATAGCAAGAGGCCTTGCCAACCTGGACACATGACAGCAATGTATTTTATTTCTGCTTTGAGCCTCTGTGCTGAGCAAGACCTTTGCAAGTGGAGGTCAAAAGTCTGCAGTATTTTTCAGCTACTTGCTGGGGGAACCAAGAGTTGTTCCAGCTCCTGAATTATCTCTCCCAGTCTGCAGATCAGCAAATGGCTCTTCCTCACGACCAGAAAGCTGCTCTGCCCACTTACCTTTTTACTCTCTTCCATCTCGTGTTCAAACATAGCGCTGAAAACCGGAGAACGTGCTGCGGCCAGAGGGGTGGGGTGGGGAACACAAGAGAGAAGAGAGAGAGATTGGGGAGGAGGGAAAAGAACACCACAAAATGCAATTAAAACTATGTGAAGAGATAACCTTCCTCTCCAGAGAGGAACTGACACATGCAATCAGTACCTGCAAATAAAGGTACCAATATAACAGGGCGTAAAAAATAAATAAAACGATCATGAGAGAAATGTTATCAAATGTCTTCCTAAGGGCTTATGCACACTAGAGAAAGGAGACCAGCTTAAAACTAGCTTTTCCATCAGCCCAGCCCACCCCCCACCCAAGAGCAGCTCTGAAAATTGCAGTTTTGTGAAGGTGCCGACCACTCACAGACATTCTTGGCTCCATTCCCTCCCACTACAGTTCAGAGGGTTTTCCTCCAGGGAGCCGTGGTGGTTAAACCGGCTTGGAGCAGAATATATACGGGGCCATGTGCACCCTCTGCTTAATAAGAGAGACAAAAAACGTTCTGCTCCCAGGCAGACATCTTTCTGCTCCGAGAAAAGCTAGGTTCTGCAACACGCATGAATTATGCAAGTTGAACAAATTTTACAAGCTTGTCACAACTCATTCCGGTTTTGCTAGCCGCACGAAAGTGAAAAATCTACGCAGGGGCCTAGCTGAGGGGGAACACAGGAGAGCATACTCCTAAACTACTCGGAAATCGCATTGAGCAATCCGTCTGGGATTCCAGCAGGAACTGCCTCACACTTTCAAGTACAGTCATACCTTAGTTGCCGAACACCTTGGAACTTGTATGTTTTGGCTCCCGAACAATCGAAAACCAGAAGTGAGTGTTCCGGTTTTCAAACAATTTTTGGAAGCCGAACATCCGGCGTGGCTTCAACGGCTTCTGATTGGCAGCAGGATGCCGCGCTTTGGTCTTCGAACAGTTCTGGGAGCCGAACGGACTCCCGGAATGCATTGTGTTTGAGAACCAAGGTAAGACTGTATATCTCTGCAGTCGTAAGACACAGAAACTTGCCTTTCTAAAGGGAGGAAAGAAAGCTGAATGGTTTATCCTGGGCTCCCACAGAAGTGCATTATATACAGCAGGAATGTCCAACAACTTTGGTCAATCTAATGGGTAGATCACTGCCAGTTTTTTTTATAGTGGCAGTAGATTGCAGTCTTCTTGGGAGTTGGACATGCCTGATATAAGTCCTAGAAGACCTCTGGCAAAGCAGTTTTTACAATTTGCACCTTCCCCGCCCTCCCAATAGCATTAAATGGGTTTTTAAACCTGAGGTTTCAATATGATACATTCCCATTGCCCCTCATTCCCCGGTCAAATCAATTGTTCCCATCTTATAGGACCCGCTATTTGGAGCCCCTTTCTGGAAAAGAAGGGAAGCAACCTCCAAAACACTCATCAAGGCAGTCGGCTTGTCCCTGATCAGTCCATCCGCCATCCTGCTAAGCCTCGCGCCCATGTCGATACCGACCTGCTAATATGGCTTTGTGAGCCTGGAACTCCTGGCCTGCCACACACAGGCAGCAGTCTGTGAAGCGAGAGTTTTCCCAGAGGCCTCCCAACTCATCAGCCAAGCGGCATTCAGGTACCTTCACCATGTTCATGGAGTTCTGGCCGGAGATATTGACAGAGTCCTGTACTACACTCACCTGCAAGGAAGTACAGGGGGTTAACAAAAGAAGCAGCAGCAGCACAGTGAACTTTAAAAAAAAGTGGGGAGGAGCACAGAGGTTCAGTGGGGTAGGGTGGAGGGAAACAAAACCCCACAGATGCTCTTGGTTAGGGATGTTTAAGACAAAAACAGCAATGCACTGAAAATAAACTCTGCTCTCACCCACATACCGGCACGGCTGCCTAAGGATTCCCACAGATTTTGAATGGAATCAGAAGTTCATCTAAGTTCTCTCCTTTGGGATAAAAGGCAGGGCCATCCATTTCTACAGATTGGTCCAAGGCACTACGTGCCGCAAGCAAGGAGCAGAGATGTCAAAGAAAACAAATCTGCCGAGCTCCACATGGCTCCAGAAGACAAAGCTATCAGGCCACAAGCGACAAAAACCTCTCTACAGATGAATACCAATGAACACTTACTATATGGCAACCTACAATGGGGTACAGACCAACGCCAGGGAGCCCAGTCTTCTGTACGCTCTTCCTGAACCTCCTTGTTCCTCCTGATTTCATGTCAGGTATATGGAGGTGTAGTAAAATAAATGTCACCGCTTGGCAGAGTGTCACAGGCCAGCTTCCCAAGCAATTACAGACATACTGCAGCAGATTACCACTGTATGAAGTCATTTCGATTCAGCCAGAGTCACTAGCCAGATTCCTTCCTGACCGCACCTACATCTGTTTTATCAGTCCTTAACCTTGAGCACAACCCAGGCTCCAGGTCTTTCAAAAATGAAGGCTCAAGTTAACTAGTTCAGATGTTCACAAACTTCCTCACCTGGAGTTATAAGCTATTTTGGAGGTGATTTAAAAAATTAAAATTAAAATTAAGTGATATAAGAATATCCCTGGAGCATGGAGGTACCATATGACTATCATGACTGGTTGCCTCTGATGTGACTTATCCTCCAGGAATGAGCATATTGCCCATTTTTAAAAGACTTCCAAGCACATGGCCATTACGGGAAAGAAGGGGAAGCTGATGTTGTTGACAGGCTCCCAACTCTCATCAGTTGCAGTTGGCGTGGCCAACAGCCAGAAATAGTAGTAGCTTCCCCATCCCTGCCTTACCAGGCCTTGAGGGCATGCTGAAAATTTTCACAGCCCAAAACTCCAGCACCAATTGGAGGTTTGTTATCATCCCTGTTGGATGACAATACCCACATTTAAAATGTGTGCCCCACTCTGACGCTGCTTTCCAATGGGAGACAGGCAGCAAAATTTCAAATAAAATAAAAAAATACAATTTGCAAGCCTGCTCTGAATCCCCACCTCTGAAACTACTGCTTTTGAAATGTTAAAGGTAAAGGGACCCCTGACCATTTAGGTCCAGTCGTGGCCGACTCTGGGGTTGCGGCGCTCATCTCACTTTATTGGCCGAGGGAGCCGGCGTACGGCTTCCGGGTCATGTGGCCAGCATGACTAAGCCGCTTCTGGCGAACCAGAGCAGTGCACGGAAACGCCGTTTACTTTCCTGTCAGAGCGGTACCTATTTATCTACTTGCACTTTGATGTGCTTTCAAACTGCTAGGTTGGCAGGAGCTGGGACCGAGCAACGGGAGCTCACCCCGTTGCGGGGATTCGAACCGCCGACCTTCTGATCGGCAAGTCCTAGGCTCTGTGGTTTAACCCACAGCGCCACCCGCATCCCAAAGGAAATGTTGAATGTTTGAAATGTTACTTATCCTTATAAACAATGCCAAAGTGAACTGTTCAAGAATCAGTGATTTCAATGGAAGTTACGCATGCGCTTTAAAATCTCGCCCATCACAATTAGCAGGACTTAAATGTTGTGAGATGTTGGGTGGATTGTGTCTGGTACCTCTGAAGTCATTAAAATTAAAACAAACCCTGTTTTTTTTACTGAACAAAAACCGAGATCCTGAGAACGCTGCAAGTTGCTCTGAATCCTGCAGTGCAAACATGGAAAACAAAGAATCGGGTGCCTGCCTCTTTGAGAAAGCAGCCCCTTCAAACTGGAAACGGATGCTGCAAGGATCTCAATGTAAGCTAACTGGCAGCTCCACAGGTACTAGCCAGCAAAACAGGGGCTGTGCAAGAGCAGGTGTACCAGTATCTCATGTGATCAGGCCAAACTTGCAGCCTATGTTGCTGCAGGTTGACAGACGGAAGACCTGGCAGAACTAAAGCGATTTTTTATTTTTTTAAGACAGACAAACCCTCTTCCTCAGCAATATTCCAAGTTTTAAATAAAAACCCTGGTAACAGTCTCCCAGCTCACCAAATGTTATCAAATCCTTAGAGAGCCTCAGCAGAGGGGAAAACACACACACACACACACACACACACACACACACCTCTCTCTCTCTCTCTCTCTCTCTCTCTCTCTCAAATGGCATTCCTGCCAAATAGAAACACAGCTGTAAGCACCTGTGGCAAGAAACGGGGGAAAATTCGCTGAGCATATGGCACTAAATGGCAGGAAAACCTCCTGGCATCAGCAAAAACTAGCACAAGTTTTCATTTCTATGCATAACTTCTGGCTTGCCAGATCCAAAAGCTTTTTTCTCTGACAAAAGCCTGATACTTTCCAAGAATGAATCCCATGCTGTGCGGGGAACAGGCCTTGTCTACTGACGGAGAAGCCCCACACAGAGCGATGCAAAGGCCTGGAAGAAACATGATTTTCTCTACTGTGCTCTACCAGGACCCTCCCCACCACGCCCACCCCCAATCTATCCTACAGAAAAACTGAAAATGTTGGAGATCACTGACAATACTCCATCAAAAGTTGCTTTCTCTTTTGGCACGAGTCAAATGCTTTTTAAGGCAAGGTTTTTTACTCACTCAAAATGTGAAACATGAAGGTTCTGATGTTAAGGCTACCTAAAGAACATGGCAAAAGTGTACGTATGTGACACTCAAACCCAAGATACATTTCAACTCCTAGAGGTGCTGCCCTCTTCATCAGAGGACCATTTGGGGCCTTTGTTTTCTTGGTACCTTGGTTGTCAAACTTAATCTGTTCCGGGAGTCCGTTCGAAAACCAAGGCGCGGCTTCTGATTGGCTGCAGGAGCTTTCTGCACTCAATCGGAAGCCGCGTCAGACGTTCGGCTTCCAAAAAATGTTTGCAAGCTGGAACACTTACTTTTGCACCGTTTGGGAGCCAACTTGCTTGGAAGCCAAGCCGTTTGGCAAACAAGGTACCATTGTAAATTGCTACTTCCTTTCTTCTGGGAAATTTTGATCTAGTGTGGAGATACTAGAAACTAATACCCTGGCATCTACTGCCCTTTGGGCATGTACAAAACCAACACTGCAATCCAGGAGCCAAGGTTCACTGAATGGGGTTTACTTATGAGAAAACATGTTTTAGATTTCACTTTAACGCACTGATAGTTTTTGAGGCTGCAATCCTATGCATGCTTACGGGGGAGTAAGCTCCACTAAACAAGAGTGGGTCTTCTGAATTAAGCTGTACAAAACTGTTTTATAAATTTCATAAAGGCAAAAAAAAAGGTAGTATTCCCCCTCCCCCCGGATTTATGGAACTATACATTTCTAGTCACACATCTGCTTCCTCATCCTCCCCCTCCACAGGTTAATCCACGTAATTCACATGACAGCATGCCACAAGCGAGAAAAGGTGCTTGCAGAGAAATAGCTCCAGACAACTCAAGCAAGCGAGCCAAGCCACACCTTACAGAGGGAGTTACAAAAGGCCCTCTCCCAAACAAAACACTCAGGGTCACCATTCGACTCCAACTACTGTGCTCAGTTCAGAAGGAGTGATGGACAAAGGGATTGGACATGCGATGGGAGCTGAGAAACGTCTTTGCAGCCCTTCTGCGGTTTTCTTCCAAATGAAAGAAAAGGTTTCGCGTCGTTTTCCCCTCCTTACCTCACAGAAGAGAGTGAGCTTGTCATCTGGGAGGAGTCCGTTGGCCTCATCCAAGAGAAAATCTCTTCTAATAAACTTCTTGAATCCCCAGTCTTTGCCTTGCACAAACCGGTAGGCTCGCTGACTCTCTGGAAATATATAAACAAGTGGGGGCTCTTTTTTGAAAAAGGAAAGCCAAGAGACACACAAGCAGGGCTCTCATTCGCTCTCGCTGCCTGTGTTTAAACGGCAACTGAAGCGCAAGGAACCGGCCACCAACTCTGCGTACCCATTGCTTTCGTTTCTTCTCCTTTTGCGTTCAGGATGGAGAACTTGAATTTGGCTCGGACTTCGCTCTTTGGACAGCTGACCAGTAGCAGGTAGAGCGAAAGGTAATCTTTACTCTCTTCGTCCAAGCCCTTTGGATTCACGCGCAAACACCTGCAGAAGCAGAAAGATAATCTTCATCTTCTCGATATGGTCTTAAACCTGCTGGCAGAAACAAGTTTCCACACACAGATCTGCTTGCACTGGGTGCACAAAAGAAAATGCAATGTAGGGGACAAGGGAGGCACAACCTCTGATAAGGCGATGCTTGCGGTTACTCCACAGAGATCCCAAAAGAGGAAAAGAGTTGTTTGGACTTTTTTTCTCTCCCTTGCGTGGGATTCGTGCTCCCACATCCTTAGCTTTCTTCTGGAGGAGCAAGGACAACCAGAACTAGATAGTAAATAGGATGGAGATGCACCCAAGTGCTCTTCCTTTGGATTCCTCACTAGGTTGGATTTATCTTGTACAGGTCCCAGTTTAAACTGGCCAATGCCCATGGATTACAAGTATGGCTTGGCTCACTTGCTTGAGCCATCTGGAGATATTGATCTTGTGGTGTGTCTGTGGCTTAGATGGCATGGTCATGCCTTGCTGCAATCTGTTAGACAACACATTTTGGCCCCTTGCAGATGATAATATAAGATTTCTTAGCTACATTTTCATTTTTAAAAAAATAAATTTAAAAAATATTTTTTCATTATTACAGTTTCCAGAACCACATTTACATTGAAATCAACATTTCCCTCATTCATATCTTACTTTATAATAAGACAAACATTTATGACTTCCCTTCTTGCCTTTTCCTGGTTCCTTTGATTTCCCCATTATTTCTGCATATTCTTATATAGCAATTTCGTTCTCTTTTCCTTTTATTATGCCTTTATTTTATGTTATACTGTTGAATTTACCTTAACCCTGCTAAATTTTTCACATATTTACAGTTATTTTCCAAATACTCCACAATTTTTTTCCATTTCTCTTTATATACTTGGTCCTCTTGTTCTTTTATTCTACTAGTTAAACCTGCTAGCTCTGCATATTCAATCATTCTTAGTTGCCAGTCCTCCTTGTTAGGAACCTCGCTCACCCTCCATTTCTGTGGCAACAAAATCCGAGCTGCAGTATGGGCATACATAAATAAGTTTTCCTGACATCTGGGTATTTCTGCCTGTACCATTCCCAAAAGGAATGCCTCTGTTTTTTGGGGGAAAGTTTTTTTTAACATTTTTCTCATCTCATTGTATATCATTTCCCAATACCCTTTAACTATTTTGCATGTCCACCACATATGGAAGAATGTTCCTTCTACTTCTTTACATTTCCAACGTACATTGATTCCGATTTGTACATCTTAGCTAGTCTACTGGGGGTTAAATACCATGTGTGAACCATTTTCAAACAGTTCTGTTTCAACACATAACATGCAGTAAATTTTAAATCTTTCTTCCATAATTTCTCCCAATGGTCAAATTCTATACTCTGCCCTATGTCTGTTGCCCAATGAATCATTGATGATCTTACCAGCTCGACTTTTTCTTATTCCAATAACATCTTATACATTCTAGATAATAACTTTTGATTATTTTCTAATAAATCTCTTTCAAATTGCGAGCTTTGGTCTGAAAATCTGTTTTTCTTATCCATTTTGAATCACTCATTTAATTGATAATATTGTAACCAGTCTGTTACCTGGCTGCTATACTTATTTCCTCCATAGTCTTGAGTCTAGGTTCCCTTTCTAAAAAATCCAATAAGTCTCTTTATGTCGTCTTGTCTATCGATATTCATTCTCTTCTAAACAATTGCTTCTATTGGCGATAACCACAAAGGTGTCTTCCTTTCCAGCAAGTTCTCATACTTCCCCCAAACTCTATATACCTTCTTTCTAACCACATGGTTTGAAAAACATTTATGTATTTTAGCTTTCCCATACCATAGACATGTATGCCAGCCGAATTTGAGATCATGACCTTCCAAATGCAATCGGTGGGTGTTTTTCAATACAATCCATTCCTTTAGCCAACAAAGACACGCTGCCTCATAATATAATTGTAAATCTGGCAGAGTGAATCCTCCTCTTTCTTTACTACCTATCAAAATTTTATGCTTAATTCTTGGTTTCTTCCCCTGCCAGAAAAATCTAGTGATATCTTTTTGCTGTTCTTTGAAGCAGTGTAAATTGTTGACCACTGGGATGGACTGAAATAAAAACGTTTTAGGTAATATATGCATTCATTTTAATGGCTGATATTCTACCCACTAGGGAAAGTTTCATTCTCCCCCATATTTCCAATTATTTTTTAATCTCCTTCCACACCTTTACGTAATAATCTTAAAATAAGTTGAGATTCCTCACAGCCAGCCATATCCCTAAGTACTTCACCTTTATACATATTTTTAATCCACTCACCATTTCCAGTTCTTTTTTTGAATGGTCACCCATGTTTTTACTAATATCTTAGTTTTTTCTGCATTTATTTTAAGGCCCGCCACCTTCCCAAACTTTCTTATATCCTCTAATGCCTTAGGAACCCTTTCAAGTGGTTGTTCTACTGTTAATACCACATCGTCAGCAAAAGCCTTTAGTTTATAGGATTGTTGTCCCACCGAAATTCCTTTCACTTCCCCGTTCTTTCTTATACGCTGTAACATTACTTCCAGCATCAATATAAACAACAGCGGGGATAATGGGCAGCCTTGTCTAGTGCCTTTCATTATTTTACAGTTATCGGAGAGATTATTATTTACAATTATTTTCGCGGATTGCTCCATAAAGGTAAAGGTAAAGGGACCCCTGACCATTAGGTCCACTCGTGACCAACTCTGGGGTTGCGGCGCTAATCTCGCTTTATTGGCCGAGGGAGCCGGCGTACAGCTTCCGGGTCATGTGGCCAGCATGACTAAGCCGCTTCTGCTGAACCAGAGCAGCGCACGGGAACACCATTTACCTTCCCGTCGGAGCGGTACCTATTTATCTACTTGCACTTTGACGTGCTTTCGAACTGCTAGGTTGGCAGGAGCAGGGACCGAGCAACGGGAGCTCACCCAGTCACGGGATTCGTACTGCTGACCTTCTGATTGGCAAGTTCTAGGCTCTGTGTCCCGCGGATTGCTCCATATAGTTTGCTAATTCCTGTTAAGAAGGTATTACCCACTTGCATCTTTTCTAACACCTTGGTCTTAGCTGCATTTTCAATATGGATGGATGGTATTGAGAGTCACAAGTAAACCACAGGGACATTGATATGAAGCATGTTTGTATATCGTTTCTCCTTTCCCCTGAAGGTCAGGGCAGTTCATTGCCTCAGTCATTCTGAAGACAACCCCACGAGTCAAGTCATTATTGTGCCATTTTACAGAAGGCAGGATTGAGGCTAAGCATTAGCAACCTCCCCAAGGCCTCCCAGTGAGTGTGGAGCTAAGTAGGGGTTTTGAACCCAATTCTAAGCACCACAAGCTACCAAATGCCGTGTTCGTTGCTGGTCCCCATTGTGCACTGTATAATGATCCTTACCACTTCAATTTATCATTAGCTCCTGATGAAAATGTTGAACTTTTGATGACCTCTCCCATTTCCTCCCGGCAAAAGCTGAAGTTGTTGATGGTCCACATGTAGGAAAATTTGACCACTTTGATCTTAAGGGGAAAAAGAACAGCAGAAAGACAGTTACAAATAGCAAGATGATGGAAAGACAACATACCTTATTTCCAATGGATACGTTAGACCAGCCTTTCTCAACCTGTGGGTCCCCAGATGTTGAACTACAACTCCCATCAGCCCTAGTAGCAAGGCCAGAGCTCAGGGATGATGGGAGTTGTAGTCCAACAACATCTGGGGACCCACAGGTTGAGAAAGGCTGCATTAGACCATTAGATGGCTCAAACAGACCTTAGCAGGGTATCCAGAACATGGAAAGCAGGGCAGCCATTCCTGGGAAACTTGACACTAACATCACACGGGTCACGGGATTCCCTGCTTTTACACATCAGATTCATCACTGTTAAAAGTGGGCAGAACTCAAGCTTCAAGTTTTAGAAAGCACCACAGGCTGCCCAAAACACTGGCTCGGGACCGTGACAATTTGAACAAGGCACCAAAGATGCCAGCCAGTATTGCTTTTCACTAAGATATTCTTTGCCCCTCCGTGGGGCAAACGAAAGGATGCTAAAATGCGGACTTACTTGAGTGTAACACCAGCTCTCAGCAACAGGCCCACTTGACATCTCTGCCGGAGGAGGAGGACTCGGTACCCTTGACATCGCCAGTTTGGAGGTCAGACAGGATTCCACAGGTTAGTTAAAGAAATCTGTGTGTACAAACTTCACCCTGATTAAAGAGGAAGAGGGATATAAAGGTTAGTTAAAACTTCCCAGCAATTGTTAAGTTACCTCAGAATAGCATGGGTTCTGGCTAGTTTTCCAGTGCTTTGTTTTAAAAAATTTGTCTTATTACTGGAAAAGGTTAGGCACTGCAGATTTCCCCACCTATGTTACCTTACTATACTGTCTCTACACCAAGTTGAATTTGCGGAAGGAAGATAATGCTTCGCAATGTTTACTACTTACCTTAATGCCCCACTGCGGGCCACTAGTTTCTCAGCTACACTAGTCAAATAAGGGTGTTTTAAATGCATTATAAACATGCAACACCAGATTGTGCTACTGAGCACGAAACATTTCTATGTAATTTTACATAGGGTTTCCCCACCCTCTCTTTTGCTATAACGATTTATTTTATGACTTATTTATAGCGGGGTTTTTCCTGTGCGTAGATCAGGACTCCCCTTTTACGTATGAGAAACTGAGGAATAAGGAATTACAAAAGCAGAGATGGGATCTGAATCAAAGCATAGCTTTTAGCTAGTTGAACAAAGTGGCTGTCAAATCATGCACCACGGATGGGTTTGCAACTTCAAGAGAAGAACCGAGAAAAACAAGAATCATGAGCCTATTGAAAAATATGGACCTTGTTTTCGATCCACAGGAATAAAAGGGGACGAGCAAGAAACAAGGTAAGAGTCATGGGACAGGTACAAGGTCTTGCACCACTCTACGTACAGAGACAACTATAATTGTTTTATCCCACGCTCTACCTGTGCTTTTTCAAACACATGCTGACATTTAGCAGTGTTTGAACAAAAGGAACCTGGGGCCAAACCACCATCACAAATAATTCAAAGATTTTCAGTAGCAGCCCTGTGAAGTGTTGGCTTGCATCCAAACAATACAGCCCTGGAGACCTGAGATGCATTCTTATTCTTGCACACAAGTTACCCCTAAACCTAATAGTGAGGTATATCACAAGGCTCCCCTCCAAAGTCAACTACTGCACCTTTCGTAGCACTTGTACACTGAAACAATATAAACCCACTTCAGACTCACTCTAGCTAGCTAACTCAGGTGCTTCGCTAGCTCCAAACTTTGCACCATTAACATTCAAAATAAAGAGCACTGTTAAGGTACACTGTACATTACTTTAGAGAGATGGCAGGCCTTGCCCCAAGGAGCTTACAATTGCAATTTTGCCAGTATGTGAGGCACTAGATTATGGGGATTGAAGAGACTGGCAAGAACAACAAAAGCTGCTGCGTGCTATACAATTATATGAGTCTATGATTCAAGTTGAGAGGTATGTTCAATTAAAAATAAAGTAAAATTAGCGAACTCTTGCAAATGAGAGGCTGGCTGCTCACTATTCAAGGTCTTTGGAAAACCATTATTCACACAGGCCTTTCTTTGCCAGTTGGCTTTTACTGATGTTTTTGACCTCTAGGTTAGATTAGTGAAATGCGTTATATGTGGGGCTGCCTCTGAAGACAGTTCAGAAACTTCAGCTAGTGCAGAATCCAGCAGCCAGGTGGCCCACTGGGGCAAGATGGTTTGAGCATATTACATCAATCCTGGTTTGACTGCACTGGCTGCCAATTAGTTTCTGTGCCCAATTTAAAGCGCTGGTCACAGCCTATAAGCCTTAAATGGCTCAGGACTGCAATACTTCCGAGGACTGCCTCTTTCCATATTAACTGACCTGGGCCCTGCGATCATAATATGAAGCCCTTCTACATGTGCCTCCTCCGGAGGGTGACAACATGAGGCTGGGCCTTTTCTGCAGTGGCTCCGTTTGTGGAATGCTCTCCCTGGAGAGGTTAGGCTGGCGCCTTCATTATACTCCTTCAGGCATCAGGCAAAATTGTTCCTCTTCAACCAGGCCTTTGGCTGATTGACATCTGATGCCCTTTTAAATGTGTCGTGGAAAGGGGAGGGATTATTGGCTTGGTTTTGTTCTTCTTTTTATTATGTATTTTGTGTTTGTTTGCATTGTAATTTTATGTTGTGAACTTGCCTGCGATCTACAGATGAAGGGTGGTATGTATGTGTGTATAAATGGTGTAGGTTATGTTTTTAGGCTGTGCACCACCTTGAGATATTGTATATGAAAGTGTCTGAGCATAAAAACTGTCTAAAAAAATAAAATATGTGGCTCACTTATGTTGGGAAGATTATACAGTGGTACCTCAGTTTTCGAACATCTCGGAAGTCAAATGTTTCGATCATCAAACGCCAAAAACCCAGAAGTAACTCCTTCGGTTTTCAAACGCTTTTTGGAAGTCAAATGTGCCACACAGCTTCCATATTGAGTTTTCCGGAAGTATATGCTTCGGTTTTCGAATGTTTCGGAAGTCGAATGGTCTTCCGGAATGGATTACGTTTGAAAACCGAGGTACTACTGTACTTTAGATTTGCTCATCAAAGCCTTGCTCACATGCTTTGGTGGAGTAGCTCACATAAAGAATTGCAGGTCCTTTCCTTTGTGCACTGTGGTTTGCTGGTTCCCTCTACATCCAGCACCATCCTTTTCTCAGACTTGCAGAACTATGAGCTACCTGCCCATCCAAAGCAATCTGGGTCCTCTGGGAGCAGCACAAGGCTCTCTCTTCCCATCCCTCGTGGCTCCCTAACACACTTGGCTGCTAACAGCTGGCAAAATGTGTGTATCCACCAGCCCGACAAAATCTAAAATTAAAAAAAGAAAAAACACACCAAAACAATCAAAACTGCCACAAGCAGCAGAGGTGCGAGAGATAAGCTAAAGAAAAAAAACAGATGTTCTCATAGAATTTGCAATGGGGGGAAAGGGGAGAAATGAACAGAACTGCTGTTTTTTGTTCACGTTCCAAAAACAACAAACCTCTCTCATATATATATATTTAAAATTGGCACATTAGTTCCAAGCTCTGATACAATTTTCAGATGCTTTCTACCTTCCAGGGTGCCCAAGATATAAACACATTCTTTATCTATTCTAAGTAGAAAAACTGACACAAACTCCTTAAATAACAGATGTACAACCATCAGCGATCCAAGACGATTGCCTTCCTGTACACTTTGCACTCTCCAGAAGGCTGGTAATGAGATGAATGCTACCTCTACAAAAATCTTCATGCTAAGTAAGGAATAAGCCTGTTTTCCTACTGCAACAGTGTTTTGATATAGCACCCTAGTTGGGGTGTATCAGGCCTCATGTACACAACACCTGGACAAATTTGTTCACACCATCCCGCAAAGGGTCAAACCTGCACATCAGAGTGTCATTTTCCCTTTTGCTGGGAGCTACCACTGGCAGGTCTTTAATCCAAGCACTTTTCCCACCGCCATGTACTTCTCAATAGCCATGCCAACAAGCCAAAGCACTACTGAAGCCCAGCTTTTATTCACTTATGTCAGCAGCAGTTGCTTTAGCTGCCGTCACATATGCTGCAGTGTTTAGGCAGTGCTGCACAGTGGTCGGAGTGCTGAACAAGGTTTCAGGTGAGCCGAGTTCAAATCCACTCTCAAGTATAATTCATGAGGCTCACTGGGTGCCCCCAAACCTCCGCCACTTCCCCTTCCATCTCAAAGCATTGGTGTGAGATGAAAATGGGGGGGAGGGCAGAGAAGTACAACTCTGAGCAACCTGATGAAAGAATCACAGAATCATAGAACATTGGAAGGGGCGACGAGGGTCATCTAGTCCAACCCCCTGCAATGCAGGAAACTTTCACCCATCGTGGGGCTCAAACCCACGACCCTAAGATTAAGAGCGGGCATAGGCAAATTCAGCCCTCCAGATGTTTTGGGACTACAACTCCCATCATTCCTGACCACTGGTCATGTTAGCTGGGGATGATGGGAGTTGTAGTCCCAAAACATCTGGAGGGCAGAGTTTGCCTATGCCTGTTTAAGATTCTCATGCTATACCAACAGAGCTATCCCGGCTGACAGGGTGGGGCAAAAGTGCAATAATGCCACAGCTGGGCACTCTCTACACACAGAAATCAGGCAACTTGAACTAGGGATGAAAGATTAAAAATTCAGGTAGGTAGCTGTGTTGGTCTGACACAGTCGAAATAAATAAAATAAAAATAAAAAACTGTCCAGTAGCACCTTAGAGACCAACTAAGTTTGTTCTGGGTATAAGCTTTCGTGTGAATGGTATTTTTTTATATATAAAAAAATATTTATTAAAAACCACTGCTAAGAAATGACTGTGGTGGGTCAAAGGGAAGTTTCACTTTGCCTCTGGAGCCGGTGTGGGAAACTTGTGGCCTTCCAGATGCTGCAACTCCCATTATCCCATAAACTACAACTCCCATTATCCCTCAACACTGGCCATGCTCACTGGGGTTGATGGGAGTTGTAGTTCAGTAACACGTGGAGCACCAACGGTTCCCCCATATGTCTTAGAAGACGTGGAGCAATGGTTACTCCAGAATCTGGTGAGCAGAGGCCACGAGGTTTCCATTTTTTAGTGATCAACACCTAAAAGCTATTCATAGACCTACCTGCCAAGTATCTGCCTAATAACTCTTTTTCCAAGCAGGGGAACAGGCTGCTGGTCTCAGCATAGGGTACAGGTTCAAGTGCTTAGCTATAAACAGATCCCTTCATTTTTTTAAAGTAAAGCTGCATGTTTTGAAATCCACAAAATAATACATTTAAACTACACATTTCTAAATTTTCTCTCAAATAAACACTTTAAACTTTTTTTAAACACTTAAAAAGAAGAAGTCAAAAACTGTTTCAGAACATGTAAGAATTGCAAATGCCAGTGGGTAACTAAGTTCCAATCAACACATTGGTCCAAGAGATACAGGTCAGGTCATACTGGAACAGGCAAATTTCTAATTTCTCAAGCATCCCTAGTTGGAACGTAATGCTTGGGGCTTGCGCGACAGGCAACCTATGACCTGATTCTCAGGTGAAATGAAACCACGGTTTAAATAAACATTAACCAAGGCTTATGACTGAACCCAGCACAGTACCTTAACTATGTTCTGTTCAGGAAAATAAACCATTATTTGTTGCTGGCTTACTTAACTTAGTTATGGCTTAGCACATGCTAACCCAGGCTCCTCCTTAACCCATAGCACGTGGTCTCTTTTATCACCCTGCCCAAACAGCACACCAAGTGACAGAGACATCAGGCAAGAGTGACTGGAAATTAAAGCCTCTCTCCATGCTCAGATCCTCTTCATTGGCACTGTCCCTGAAGCCAACATTGCCGCTAACTCTGCAACACACACACCATTGACAACCACACCTGCAGTCCCCCCGCAACACCTGCTGCTAAAGTTTTTTAAGCTGCACGTGTCTCATCCGATTTCCAAGTAACTTTCCTGCACAAAGACCTTTGGAGAGTCGCGTTTGTGCTGCTAGGGTGGGCGCTTCAAACAGGCCGATGTTCACACCTCTGCAGAGCTGGGCAGCTAAGCAGGGTTGGGATTTTACCAGACTTTTTAGCAGCTGGAAAAGCTGTGCATTTTAACACAGAGAAACAGAAATTGTAGGGGTCAGAGGGTTAAGATACAGAGGGGCGGCAAATTTCTGTTTCCAAACAAATGCACTTTCCCCACGTAGCTAAAGGTTCCCTGCGACTTTGCGCTTTGATAGCAAAGTACAGAAGAGTGTCTATTGAGGGGGGGGGGGAGTAGGGTTTAAAACTTCAGGTTTGGATCCTGAAATTCAAGCCAGCTAACAGGTGAAACGACTTAAAGTTTGCATTAGTAAAAGCAGTCTTTCAGCAGCAGAGTCCTTACTAAGCGCAAAGCATAAATTCATTATGACACTTGATTGTTGGTTGGGGAAAGGAAAACAAAAAAGCATGGTTGTACAGGGGAAGAAAGGGGTTTGAAAAACTAAAAGCTGCAAAGGAGTAGGGGCATTTGTTTATTGGGAGAATGGAAGGGGAGAGCAGCTGCTTAATGGCAGCTGCACTGAAGATCACAGAGATTTCCACACCCTCGCTCTCACAGCCAACTAATAGGAAGGGAAATGGTGACACTGTGAGGCGATGCCGGTCTATGAGAAACAACAGACTTAAGGGATGTAAAGCAGAGAGGCAGCTGAGGGTGGGCAGAGTATGACAAGACAAGCCGTAGTTACTTTTGCATTTCACATCACATTATGTTTGTCTATATAATCCAGAGTATGCACGGCTGACGAAGCCTGGTTGGGCGAAACAAGGAATTATCCTGGAATCCTTGTCTTATTTTCTGCATGTGCCATTCTTCCAAGTTTTTTGTCTGATACCTGCATACAAGGAATGCTAGAATTCTTTAAAGCATCTTCGTGTGGAACACGACAAGCTTGATATAAGAATTCCACACCGTGGATATTGCCAATATAAGAACTGAATAGATTGTATTTCCTGATCAGTCTGCTGGACTTTCTCATACTGTAATATGTTTTCTTTATATGATAAGTTGGTCTATAGAACCATATATTTTGATATGATATGTTGAATTGCATTTAAAAAGAATTTATATAGTTACATACAGCCTGTTACGTATGTGTTGTTATCAGTACAGTGGTACCTCGGGTTAAGAACTTAATTCGTTCTGGAGGTCTGTTCTTAACCTGAAACTGTTCTTAACCTGAAGCACCACTTTAGCTGATGGGGCCTCCCGCTGCCGCCGCACGATTTCTGTTCTCATCCTGAAGCAAAGTTCTTAACCCGAGGTACTATTTCAGGGTTAACGGAGTCTGTAACCTGAAGCGTATGTAACCCGAGCTACCACTGTAGTTACTTTTGCCTGCAGAAAATGACGTCTGGTTGGTGCAATAAACAACTGTTAAATAAGTCGTGGTTTAAGAATGGCCTAGCACAACATGCACACTGCACCTATGGCTTATGAAAGGGGCAAGTGGTGCCGGTGCACACTGCTCAGATTGCACACACCCATTCTTTCCTGTGTCACGCCGGAAAGAAGGAAACCAGAGGGCTGGCTTAGCATTATGTGCAAATCACAACCTGTGGCTTGTGTCTATCCAAGCAAACCCCCTTTTGCTTGCTTACTTGTGGTAATCCACAGTTTGGCTTCCCATGGCATTATTATTAAACTGAATTTGTATACCGCCCTATACCCCGAGGTCTCAGGGTGGTTCACAGAATAAAATCAAAATATAAAACCACAAAATACGTAATCAAAATAAAAACAACAACCCAATAATGCTTCCCCCCTCCAAAAAAACCCTTCACATTTTAAAAGGGCATAGAAACCAGGCCACTGTAGTTTCCTAAAATACCAGCTTACATGTAACGTGGAATCCCAGCTCAGAGAACCGCAAAGACAAAGCGCAGAGTCAAAGCTGAAAGAGAAAGAATGCCGAAGGCTCAGATTTCAAATGTGTGGCTTTCTGAAGCCTCTCCCACATTTCCATAAAACTATCTGCCTGCATGTTCAGTGGTGAGGGCTACTAAATTTGCCATGTGGTATGTGCCTAGTGTTGCTATGAAGGTAACATCACTAGCCTATAAATCTGACTGGATTAGTGTGAACTGTTCCGAGAATTGCTAAGGTTGAAAAATGGTATATATTTTATACAAATATCCTCTAGAGTGGCTGGGGAAACCTTGCCAGAAGGACGGGAAAGTAATAATAATAATGATAATGATAATTCTATAGGTAAATACTTACAGAAGACACACAGGAAATAATCCCTCTTGTGGTCTATATTTTTTGTTACTGCTAGTAGTTTTTACATCCCACTTCTGAAGCAGAAAAGCATTCATAAAGCAACTCACAATACAGCTAAGATTATAGATGCATAATTATAACATAAAGCGTAATAAGAACTAAACAATACAGTTGGTGGTGTTAAACTAAGTTTTACTCAAAGCAGACCCACTGAAATTAATATTTGCAACTTAGCCATGATTATACGTGATTTGGGCTTTAGAGGCAATCACTGCATTTTCGCAAATAATGGGAAATTCTAAGAGCAGGGAATTCAGATGCTCCAGTCAGGAAGTCTGAAGTGGCAATGTCTTCTGTTTGATTCTGCACATAGTTTAACCAACATTTTGCAGAGTCATCTGTGTTTGTTTGTGTGTGTAAGGGAGGGACGACAAGATCCACCTTTGGATATGGAATGGCACAGATTTTTGTGTTTATAAAGGTCTAGGGGCATATTTGGGGCATGGTTTTTTAGTCAGAAGTTGGCCACGGGAAGGGAGGGAAGCAAAGTCCTTCACACCACCAGGCCGAAGTTGGGAAAAGGAACTCCTGGCCACATAAGCCACCAGGGTACCCCATAGTATGCACCCAACTCTTCCAAGAACAACGCAATGCAACCCCATCCAAAACAGCTTGCCTCTCTCTAGATTGGCCAAGTCTAAAACTGTATAGTTGAATACGAAGTGATTTCAAGTCCCAGATTCCATTTATATAGCATTTTCTATTCACCAAGTGTTTCGAAACATAACTACCTTGTGAAGCGGGTCACTGTTATTTCCATTTTAACAGATTGCCCAAGGCCACATCTGGGATCCCATGGAGAAATGGGGTATGAGGCCAGGTTTCCAGATCAGAATCCGACTCTCCTGTCTGTGGCTCTCAAGTCCTGCACCTTGGATCCCGAACGCCTTGGTACTCAGACGTTTTGGCTCCCGAATGCAGCAAACCCACAAGTGGGTGTTCCAGTTTGCAAACGTTCTTTGGAACCCGATTGTCTGTCGGGGCTTCCGCTTGGCTGCAGGAGCTTCCTGCAGCCAATCAGAAGCTGCCATTTGATTTCCAAACGTTTTGGAACCCGATCGGACTTCCAGAACGGATTCCGTTCGACTTCCAAGGTACAACTGTATTCCATATAGCCACCCTGAGCTAACCAACTCTCATCTTCTTTCCTAAGTTGCTGCTCCATCTACCAATCCAGCTTCTTGCCCCAAATTACATCCTACACTAAGGACACTTGTCCCAAAGAGGAAGGTGGGTTATCCTGAGTGTCTGGGGAAGGAAAACCGAGAATTGTCAACTGCGTACCCCCATTGCAAACTATAGACACACACACAGAGACACACACACACCGTGTTAAAACAGAAAGGGGGGGTAGTGAATCCCAGCAATGTGGAAAGAAAAGTAAGACGTAACCAACAGAAGGTGTTAAAAAAAAAATCCATCACAAAACAGACAAATCTGCACATACCATACACATCTGGCTTAAAGCAAGCTGATAAGAGTATTATCAACACAGTTCTGAATCACCAAGAGAAAATTAAATAGATTTTTCAAAAGGCAACAAAGCTTTCAGAAACACAGCAGATATTGAGATTAGCCTGGCACAGAGAGATTACCCGCCACGCTGCTTCACTCTCTGAAAAGAAGATTTCACACACTGCCATGCCAGGGCATCAAATTATTACTTGGAATGAGCCATTAATTTGAATCCTGCTGTGCAGGACTCTCCATAAGCAGAAGCTTCCTAGGTTTTTACGCACCCTTAGGACACCACAAGATCCATGAAAGCTTGCTGTGAGATGAGGGAAGGGAAACCTGTGCAGGCTCAGGCATTCCTCCCACTCCCACTAAGTGCCTGGCGGTGGGTGGGGAGGGCGGCAAGAGCAGCAAGAACCCAACAGGGGTTGGAAATGGGCAGCTGAAATCAATCTTGCAGGCTCCTGAAATTTCCCCAACCAAGTCCCAACAATAATAGGGATTCAGACTCCAATGTCAACTCCTAACAACCCGCTAGGCAAGACAAACCAAGAACTAATGTGTGTACTTATTGTAATAATAATAATAATAATTTTTATTTATACCCCGCCCTCCCCAGCCAAGGCCGGGCTCAGAGCGGCTTACAAGCAATAATAAAAACAAGTTGAATGATTACAACTTAAAAACAAAATTAAAGTACAACATTAAAATATTGAAACATTAAAATATTAAAATGTAGCCTCATTGCAGGAGGAGAAGGAAAGGAAAAAAGAAAGAGGGGGAGGGAATCAAATTGGCTCCAAGCCAAAGGCCAGGCGGAACAACTCTGTCTTACAGGCCCTGCGGAAAGAAATCAGATCCTGCAGGGCCCTGGTCTCATGAGGCAGAGCGTTCCACCAGGCCGGAGCCAGAGTTGAAAAGGCCCTGGCTCTGGTTGAAGCCAATCTAACTTCCTTAGGGCCCGGGACCACTAGGGTGTTGCTATTTATGGACCTTGAGGCTCTCCGTGGGTCATACCGGGAGAGGCGGTCCCGTAGGTACGAGGGTCCTAGGCCGTGAAGGGCTTTAAAGGTCAAAAGCAGCACCTTAAATCTGACCCTGTACTCTACCGGGAGCCAGTGTAGTTTGAAAAGCACTGGGTGAATATGCTCCCATGGCAGAGACCCCGTGAGGAGCCTCGCTGCAGCATTCTGCACCCTCTGGAGTTTCTGGGTCAGCTTCAAGGGCAGCCCCGCGTAGAGCGAATTACAATAGTCAAGCCTGGAGATGAGTCGCATGGATCACTGTGGCCAGGTCGGGTAGACACACAAAGCCAATCTGAAATGCTGACATTCGCCTGAATGAGGCCAAAATGCAAAGCAGGTGGATTCTTCCTGGATTTGATTATATCGAGAAGCGGTGTTGGGGAGCAGATGGAATGCCAGTCTAGAATCTGGGAGACAAGGATTCAAATTCCCACTCAGCTAGGAAGCCCACTTGGAGCCCTCGGGCCAGACACACACTCTCTCAGCCTAACAGGAGAAAACAGGAGCAGGGAGAACCAAGCATGCCAACTGGAGCTCCTTGCTAGAGACACAAATGTAATACATAAAGGATAGATCCTGTAGAACAGGAGCTGGGACTGCTCACAGGGTCCTTGCTACTCCCTATACTTGCATAAGGTAACAACTGCAGACACAAAAGGTACAAAGCAAAGCCTGACGTTGAAACTAGTTCTGGGGCTCAAATTAAGACCTGCTGCCAGCAGGATAATAAAAAATGTCATGCAAATGTCCAGAATTCCTCCAGATTATAGAGGGGGCTATGACGTGGCTTGTGTTGCATGATCTCAGGAAAAGCACTGATTATGTCAGTAGAGAACACACACCCCCATGCCAGTGTGAATGCCATGGCTCTAGGACTGTACAGTAGAGACGACCATGGAAGGAATAAGCCCCCCTCATCTGTTCCATTAGCACTTTTGGCAAATTTGGGTGGGTGAGATGCGCTAGGAAGCTGGAAGGGAGATGTGGCTTTAGGGACTAGCAACAGGTTGTATGAGAAGGAGAACAATCTGAACAGAGGAGGGAGCAGTGGAAGATGGCCCATTAGGACAAATGGAAGTCTGCTCTCAGCCAATCTGCTTACATACTATCAGTCTAAGTTTCTTCCACTTTGGTTTCAGTACTGGCCTTGTAGAACTTGGCAAGGAAGAGGATGGCAACAAAACGAATTAGTTGGATCTGCTGCCATCCGTTCTGGCTGCACTTACGCTTGTCTTCTGCCCTACCAGCCCCAACTGGAACCAACGACCACTTAGAGAGAGTTACATCTAAAAGACTGTAAGATTTTTGCATTTGATCACAATGTTATTAAAGACTTGCCTGGCTTTTAGAGTTTCTTCTTTAATTGAAGCCCATGACATGAGAGAGAGAGAGAGAGAGAGAGAGAAATTATCAAGGTGTCTAAGTCGGGCTTCCATTAAGATGTGCAAGCATTTGTTAGGAGGACACTGTGCATCTCCCATAGGCAGAAGGAAGTATTGGACTGACTCCACTATCCAAGTAAGCAGAACTGGAAAAAAATATGTCCAAGCCCTTGGCACCAATCAGCATCTAGTGGCCAGGGGAATTTCACCATCCTGACCAAACTGCTGTTGCACTATGTGGGTGGACACTTCTGGCAGACGAGCTGGCCTCCTGCTAATATTTCTGACATGGCCCTCAGTGCTGCACACAGATCACAGCCATGAGTTATATCCTAAGCATTTCACAGAAGCTCTCCAATGAATTTCCTCTCGATGGTTCATTTCCCTTCTTCAATTACATGGTCACCTATTTCAGGCTGAAGATCGCTGAAAACAACAACAGATATGTTTGATAGCTAGGTTCCTAAGAATGTTTTGCTGACATCCAGGAATTTGGACTACTGCTTCAGGTTTTTTTATTATTGCTTAAAAGAATTTTATTTATTAAAAGTGATTCCTAAATTCCCAAACGCAGAGGGAAAGAAAAGTCCTTGCTCACTAGAATGCCTAGAAATTTGAACAAAGAAAAATCCAAAGGTAAAGCTGAATTTCTCCACCCACACCCCAAATAACGCTTGTACATTTTAAAGTTTCTAATCAGGGGTCCACAAATGCACTTGTCAGCAGAAAGCATCTCTTTTACTTGGAGAGAAAGTCTGTGATGAGAGCAAACTGAGCGATGAGCAGCAGAAGCTCATCTGGGACCTCACAGTGGTCTTCAGAGACAACTGGAAGTAGCAAAACTTCTAGCTGGTCCAAATGCTTTCAAAGGCCGGCAGAACTGCAGGGAGCAACCTCCATGCCTCCCCTGAGCTAGGAGGGCAGACGGAATTGACAGAAACCACAAATTTTGGGTGGCTAACCAAGAAAGTGTGCAGTTTGTAGATTATCTGGAATGTATAAGTGATGAGAGAATAACGCTAGTAGCATTTCAAGAAGCTCTGTAAAAGTTTGAGAAGTATTGTAAAAAAGAAAAATAGATCTGGAAGGGTATGTCAAAAGGCAATAGTAAATTTAGGAAATGTGTAATTAAAAAAGCTAAAATTGGATGATTGTCAGAGAAGCTGAAGGAAGTCCAAAAGAGAAAATTTGTGAAAGTTTTGATATGGTGTTATATGTATTTTTTGATGGAAAATCAATAAAAATATTACAAAAAAAAGAAAAAAGAAAGTGTGCAGATTTCCTGTTCCGCTGCAATTTATAAACTACCTTCAAGGCAAATCTTCTACTGACCAAAAAAGAGAGCCTGTAATACTTAGGGTACAGTAAAAGATGAAAAAGGTAAGGGTACAGTATTGCCCTGCTGACAAACTCTGATTATGATAAAACAGAGATGCAGCTAATGACTATTAATAATACTGGAGGACTTCAACAACGCTCAAATTAGTTGGGTAAATGCAATTTTGGATCATGAAAGGAGACACAAAACTGTCCAGGCAAAACAAACAACCGTGCCTTGGAACAAAGTCAAGAAACCGACAAGGAGAAGACGTGTTAAGGTAAAAGGAAGCTGAAAGGTATAATTAAGAGGATCGAATCTCTGCAGAAGGCTTAGAGGTTATTTACAAACAACCTAATCGAGACTTAAACGACATAGAAAAGAAAAGACACAAACAAGGCCAAAAGTTTGCCGGTTAAGTAGATGAATGGATAGAAGGTTGCTTTATTGTATACATGAAGAATCTTTTTTTGTTTTTAAGCACAAATTCTGGCAAACCAGATAAGAAATGACAATAAGGAAGTTATTTAAGCTGCAAATGTCCAAAGCTATAAAACACTAAAAAACAAAAACCCCTTTAAATTCTTGAAAAGCAGGAAACCAGTCAGAGGCAGCAAAAGTGTTAAATGAGAAAAAGGGAGAAAGGGAGAAATGAAGGAAGATGAGGATATTTAGGCTGCGTACATACTGCTGTTTGCATATATTATGCTCCCACTGTTGGTTTGGAAGCGGTGTCCGCACAATGTTAACCACAATCCATCCTATATCTATTTCATTGTTTCTTATGAAGTACTGAGTTTTGATGTTTCCCCACAAATCACCTTGGTTCCGAATTGAAAAAAAGAATCACCTACCTGCCTTTTAAACCAGTGATACGTACACAGTCCCCTTTTCTCAACTCAGACTGAAGCTGGGTTGGGGGGTGAATGCATCACAATGCATTATTTTGTAAGAAACTGCAGGTATGAATTGCAAATGATGTTGTGCGCACACCAATTCCCAAATCAGCAGCAGAAGCATACTGCATGCAGAGTAAACAGGTGTGTGTACAGAGCCATAGGCTATATTTATTTGACTCATAAAGGTGAGATATGAATGAGCTTTTTGGCCATGCCACTGGCCCCTTTGCTTCTTTCTTTGTGTAAGGAAACCAGAAAGTCTTCCATTATCTATAGTTTCGCAGTTCATCCAAACTGGGAAAAGATGGTTAATGGCCAGAATATGAAGCCAACTTAAAACTGTGCCTTCATAGCCTGGCTTGTTCTGAAACACCTAACAACTGTTTCCCAGATTCAGGTAGGTAGCCCTGTTGGTCTGACGTAGTCGAAATAAATAAAAAAATTGTCCAGTACCACCTTAGATGCCAACTAAGTTTGTTCTGGGTATAAGCTTTCGTGTGCATGCACATACCCAGAACAAATTTAGTTGTTTCTAAGGTCCTACTGGACAATTTTTTTATTTATTTCAACTGTTTCCCAGTTTAGATGAAACGGGAAACTACAGATCACAGAAGGTTTCCTGGTTTGCTTGCTTCCCTGCAATGGAAGGAAGATGAGAAAGGCAGCATGCACCCCCATAATGCTTGTTCATCTCTTGGCTCATTAAGATATTACTGTATTGTTCAAATTAGTCCATTATGTGCACTATGCTGGCAGCTGAATCATAAAAATAGTATCATGAAACTAGAAAATGTACAAAAGAGGCTTTTTAAATCCAGAAAACGTGACCCTGGGAGCGCATGAAAGAAGTATATAAAACCCTAAAGAAGAGAAATTCCTCTCTTCCAAAAGACCCAAACTCTGGATCCTTCCAATGAAGGTTCACAATAAATGGAAGTCCTACTTCATCCCAAATTAACTTGTGGAATTGAGTGCCACAAAATCCAGTGATGACCACGAGAGAAGGTGGCTTTAAAACAGATTAACGGACAACAGGTGTCTCAACAGCTAAATAGAACTGTGATATTCAAAGGCGTGCATCCAACAACCAGAGGCTGGAGATGGGGGTAAGTATAGTTATGTCCACCATGACCTGCTTGTTAACTTCCTAAGGGCACCTAGCTGCCGCACTTAGAAACAGGGATCCTTAGGTCGGATCCAGCAGCGTAATATTTTATATCCTTACAATTAAGATAGCTGTGAACAGCCATGTATTCCTAGGTTTATTTATAGTGATCTGCTTTGACACCAGGGGGGAAAAAAACTTTGGTGCTTCATTTTGCGCTGAATGTTCTGAAAACAACAGAGATGTCTTCCGCAGAGTTGTATCACTGGTCTGCTGCTGTGAGCTGTTCCTCAAAAGTTCAGTCAAACTCTCCTCTTCCACTTCCTACCCATGATCCTTTAATTGGTGGTGTCAGTGATTTTATCTAGAGCTCATATGGGCAGTTTTGTATGCTGGAAGCATGCTTCTCTCTGAATAGTTTCCATTGTCGTTATTTCTTTCAGATCCTAGTATTCTGAAGCCTATCTACATTATCAGAGCAATCCGTGAAGTACTGTATTTGCACGAGCAATTTTGGGGGGGAGGGGAAGGGGGTTAAAAACAAACAAGTGATCCTTCGCTTTCATTCTCAAGCACAGAGAGACTGGTCACATTCTGAATGATCAGCCTGAGCATAGACAGATATGTTTGCTAGGATTTTTCTTTCCTTTGCAACACAGGATTGGTGAAAGGGAGTGTTTGTATGAATATGTGCAGAGTACCTCTTCATTGGTACTGAGTAGCCACAGAAGACTGGTGGAGTGGGCGGAATTCTGGGTTACGGAACATTTTTATTCTATTCATTTCTAAACTGAAAACTAAAACAGTAAGTGCATCTATGCGGTAAACAAAATCTCAGTTAAAACCAAAACGTAATGAATGAAATCAAAGAGCATGGCTACAGTGTTGAGGTGGTGTACATAAAGAAAATCAGAGTGTTAAATTCTAGATGGGTCTCAGAATACAGTGGTTTTCGAACGTAATTCGTTCCGGAAGACCGTTCAACTTCCAAAATGTTCGAAAACCGAAACCCCAATAGCCAACAGCTAGGATCTTGCACTGAGCGGAAGCCGTGTAGCATGTTCGACTTCTGAGTTTGAAAACCGAAGCATTTACTTTTGGGTTTTCGGCATTCGAAAACCGAAACGTTTTACTTCTGAGACGTTCGAAAACCGAGGTACCAATGTATCTGTCTTATTTCCCAGCTCCCCAGTAGTCATGGGGCAGTTCTTATTCTGGGCTTCTCATGGCTAGACAGACACCCATAATCACAGGTTTCAGGAAGATACAATCAGCAGGGCAACCGGATCCACCAAGTTCTCTCTCCAGGTTTTTACTGAGCACTTTATTTTATTTGGTGGGGAAACAAGTTTGACAGTTGTGCACAAAGTGCTGGTGACTCTGCTTTAACTGTGAGCCAACTCTGGATTTCTCCAGAGGCGAGGGCTGTTGTTTTGCATCTCGGAGTCCAGAATACTGACAGAACATGGGACAAGGCAGCTTACACAAGGGGGTGGTGAGGCAGCTTGACTTTCTACTCTTAACTTCTGTGGCTTGGCATGCAACCACATACCTTCCAGCCTGTCCCCCTGGCTGCTTCTTCTTTTTTAACAAACACCTGGTGTCCAAATTGTTTATCAAATGCCCGCCCGGAAGCCTCTGTGCATTCCAAGCCCTGTCCAAAATTTGCAGCTTGTTCCCAGAGAGTAGATGTCAGCATAGCTAAGGAGAAGGGGGAAGAAAACACCTCAACAGATGAATCCTAACCAGAGGTCAAAGTTTCTCTGGCCAACTTCTAGCAGGGAGAGAAGACAAGGACAGAGGTAAGTTCTCCCTCTCCCTGCGGTTGTTTATTATTTCAATTTAGATCCTGCCTTTCTGCACATAGCACTCAAGGCAGCTCGCAGTAATAAAAATATAAAAACAATTTTTAAAGTCAATAACAATCTCTGTAAAAGTGAATCACCAATAAAACGAAGAAGAGCAGATAAAACCAATTCTCTCTACTCCTGCATGCCTCAGAATCCCTTTTTCTCTTCTAGAGAACTTGCGGCAACGCAACATTTGAATCGCCAAGAGCACTGTTTGCCACGCTGCCGAGGCATATCAGAGATGGGGTGAAGCAATTTCAGCAGCACAGCCCCTTCTCCCCTAAAGTAAAACAGTTTATGCAAGAAGGAAGATGAACAACTATCAGCACAATCCTAACCCCGTCTAATCAGAAATAAATCCTAAAGAACTCCATGGGGCTTAACCTCAGCTAAGTGGGGTTGGAACTGCGGCAAAATCAGTAGTTTGTGGCTAACTACAGTACTTTGTCACCAATGTTATAAACTCAAATCTATAATCTAATTACCAAATGGCACCTTAAAGCTAGGCTGGGGTCGCCACAATGGAATGAATGTCTAGGCACTGTTTCCTCTGGGTGGTGGTGGTGGTGGTGGTGGTGGTTGTTATTTCCATTTCTATACTGCTTTATATTTTTAAGAACAAAATTACAAAGAGGTGTACCACATATCAAAACATCAAAGCAATCCAGAATAAAACAAATTCAAGCTTCAAGGAAACTATTTCAGATCCTTCTCTAAGTTTTTGTTTTCCCCAGTTGCCAACCTGGCATCCAGAGATCTCCACATGGTCGCAACTGGACTGCACCAGTACCAAAACGCACCTGGCGCCTGGCTAATTTCGAACACTGTCTGTCATCCTTCAACACGGGGGTGCTCAGAAGCAATGGCATACCTTTCCAAGTCCTGGTTTTAATTCCTCTGACACATTTAGCTCCCACACCTCTTCAAAGTTATTTACAAACTTAAATAAAGCACCAGCAGTGTAATCCATGATCCCAAAACTAGCCGAGCCAGCAGCCCTATTGAGTTATTACTCACAGAAACAGGCAAGACAAGCAGGGCTACACTTTTAGCCCCACATCTGCTGTCATGTGGTGCCTTCCAACTTTCCACAAGTTCAGAGCAAACCTTTAAGAAATCCTTCCAAAAGTTCAGGGTAAATGTCTGCAGAGGGGCAAGTTACAGTGGACTTACAAAAGCTGGAAGAAGCTGCTCAACAACTGGCAGGGGGCTAAATAAAGGCAAAGCCCTGCAACCCCTTTGTGCCCTTGTTGTCCCATCATGTGAGTACCGACTGAACAGCACTACTTAAAACAAACTCTGTACAACTGCAACTCAGACTTTAAAAGCCTGAATCTTCAGAATGAATTTTCTGGGTGCACATTCCACAGCACTGGGACTACAGCAGAGCAGACTCTGCCCCCAATGGCTGCTGCCCCATAAGGACAGGATTCTGTGCATCACCTTGTGGGTCAAGCTACTGAAATCTATATCCAGGAGAGAAGCCTGTTCTACCTTTACCTGGCGTTAGATGCACATTTTGGATTTTTAGCAGACGGCCAATGTGAACTCCAAACTTATATGTGTCATAATATCTTCTAAGCTTGCTTCCATAGATTTATTATGTATTGACGGAAGTAATATTTCAGTTCTCCTAAACTTATCGCCTTTCAGGTTCTCCAAGAGATCCTGAAAACCAGTCTTTGAAGAGATTATCATTTCTCCCGCTCTATACTATTTGCCATCTTTTCTACAAACGAAGTTGGTCCACGTAGCTCAGTACTATTTACACTAACCGGCAAGGGACGCGGGTGGCGCTGTGGTCTAAACCACTCAGCCTCTTGGGCTTGCCGATCAGAAGGTCAGCGGTTTGAATCCCCACGCCAGGGTGAGCTCCCGCTGCTCTGTCGCAGCTGCTGCTAATCTAGCAGTTCGAAAGCATGCCAGTGCAAGTAGATAAATAGGTACTGCTGCGGCGGAAAGAGTAAACGGCATTTCCATGCGCTCTGGTTTCCGTCACGGTGTCCTGTTGCACCAGAAGTGGTTTAGCCATGCTGGCCACATGACCAGAAAGCTGTCTGTGGACAAAGGCCAGCTCTCTTGGCCTGAAAGCGAGATGAGCGCCGCAACCCCATAGTCGTCTTTGACTGTACTGTACCGTCCAGGGGTCCTTTACCTGGCAGACGCTCTGCAGCATTTGGGAAAAGTCACCATTTTTAATACAGAGGACATTTCTTCTCCTCAATGTGCACCCATGTAAAATGACTACAGGTATGTCATGTTCTGAACAATTTTAAGAAACCCACATTTTCTAAGGTATGATAAATCTAACTTAAGTGTCGTAAGTTTACCATTGTGGGGATGTAGGAGATGCAATTATCGCCTAAACATTAGAGCATGATTTTAATTGGCTACCGTTTCCATTTCAGAGCTGGCTTTTCAGACAAAGCTTTTGAAATGGAGCAGAAACAAATAAACAAGCACTGATATCTAGAGAACACGGTTGGCTGGACCTAAACAACATTAGCAGAGACAAATGGATCTGGGGACCGCCCACACCAAAGACAGTGAAATCACCCCTAATGTGAAACCTTTAATAAAAGAGATAGGTGTTAGGGACTCAGGAAGGAAGAAAAAAAATATCACACAAAAATGAGAAGTAGCATATTCCATAGATAATGGGAAGGTGCAAAGGCACTAATGTGAAAGACACAATAGAACCAGTATGGCAAAAGCAAGAGATCTGATGTATAATTAGGAGAAGGATGCACACTGATGAAATAGGAAAAGGAATTTAAACGTCAAGCTGTAAAAGAAGCCAAAGAAAAAACACTGCTCCATTTATAAGGAGGATTACTTAGCAGGCCGGAAAGGAAAATTGCTGTTAATGCTGTTCTTCAGCGCTGCCAGAGCTATATAATTTGGTATAAAGCTGTTGCTAAAAGAGAATGAGAGACAAACGTACCAAAAAGAGAGGGATGGGGAGAAGAGGTAAAGGTGAAATGGCACCTAGCTGTATCCCTATGGAAGCAGCAACCTATGATGTTCGGTGGCGGCAATGCTTTTGGCTGCTCTTGGTGGCTAAAAGATGCCCATGTTTCACCCTTCTTGGAGCAGCAGGGAATACAGCTCAACCAAATGTAGTTGCAAAGCGGAAAGAACCAAACCAAAAGGACAGATGGAAGGTAACAGCATGGAGCACATTTGACTCTAAACATGCATGCCTTGCCAACATATTTTCAGACTTCATGGAAAGAACTTGGTGCAGCTTTCAAAAGCAAAGTTTCCAGAGTGATCTCCCCAAAGTGGATTGGGAATTTGGTGTGTGCGTGCGTTTGAACTTTCAACGCTTTGACTTCACTACAGCCCTGAAATGGATCAGGGCCCCACACCTACTATTTACATGGAGAGAAATCTCCTGCAGAAACACAGCTGGGGGGTATTTCTATTAGATCAGGGTCCTCCTGTATGATGGATGTGTATATTTAGTTGAATAAACTGAAAAGAGTAAAAGATTATGAGTCATTGGGGGGAGTGTGCATGTATGAACTTATTTCTAGTTGCTATTTTGTTAATATTGTTTTATTAGATTTGTAAATATCTTATTTATCTGCTAGTCATATAATATGACAGGCTGTAATTGCGATGTTTAGCTTATTTTTTAATTGCTGGTTTGTTAATAGTGTTTCACAGATTGCAATTGTTTTGATGATTTGTTAATTATATGATTTATGCTGTATTTGTAATGTTCCATTATATTGTTGTTATTTATGGTTTGTAAGCCAAGTCATTTGAATGGGAAGAAATACAATCAATTGACTTCTGGAATGATATTCATGTTCAGTGTTAGAAACTCAGCTATATAATCTAATTGCCAAATGGCACCTTAAACCTAGGTTGTGATTGCCACAATGGAATGTCTCAGTGCCATTTTTTGTTTGCAGTGGAATTATTTATCATCATTTCTATCCCACTTTATATTTTATAGAACAAATCTCAAAGCCATTCACAACACATTGAAACATCAAATAAAACAATAATTCAAGGTTCAAGAAAAATATTTCAGATCCTTCTCTAAGTGACATTTTGCTTTCCCCTGTTGCCAGCCCTGAGATCTCCACATGGTCCCAATTGGACCTGCGCCAGTCGCAAAACACACTTGGCTAATTTCTAACACTGGTCCTGTTTGTTGTGTTATCTGCAACAGACTAAGTCTTAGGGCCCCTTAAAAATCAGCTTCATTTTTAAGGTTCCCCAACACTGTATTTTTGTTTTCAGAATTCATGACCTGGTAACACTGTGATCACTGAGTAAAGAAGCAGACGCCTTGAATCAAAGCAGGAGAGAGAGATTCCTCTCTTTAATGCATCAGCAAATAAGTTATTCTTTCCACCACCTCTTACCAGAAGTGTACCCTTTGGCAAAGTGAAGTTACACAAAAACCTCCAGTAGGACAAGCGCATCCTTTTAACATTCCACACCCAATAAGGATCTTTACAGATGACCAGAAAGACTACATGCAGTATGTATCTTATTTCTTATTACGAAATAAAAATCTGAAGGCTCTATTAGGGCAAGCTGCAGTTCAAGAGAAAAGACAGTAAAACATAAGCAGCAAGTGCTCAAATGCCCTAAGGAACACGCCTATCTGGCAAGAAAGAGATTGCGGGGTCCAAAATTAAACACACAAGACTCAGAGCGAGAAGTTGGCCTGGCTCCAGCAAACGTTAAGAAAAGCTCTTATGTGGGGATTGCCACATTAACTTCAGCGTCACAGAGCTGTCTTGGAAGGTAATAAAGTGATCCACATATGTGAAGCTGCGTGTGCGCACACGTTCTTCTGGACCTGGCCAACAAAAAGGGTGTTAATTAGCTCCTCAGTTGCAATATATCAAGCATCTGTAGTTAAAGTTGCTGAGGTTGCAGGCTACAGTTGGGGAATCACGTGGGATTAAGATCTATATAACTGCTGCATGTGCACCGTTTAAGTCAGTGGTTCCCAAACCTTCTTCCCATAAACTGCTTGAAAATTGCTGAGGGTCTGGGTGGACCACTTAATAATTTTTCGGCCTTTTATAGCAATTGTGGTGCACTTGCCAGATGCTATATGATCTTGAATTGTATTTTTACAAGCCACAGACCACCTGAATGAAACGCGTGGACCACAGTGTGGGAAACCCTGATTTAAGTAATCTGTGAGTTCAGTGATAATCAGTTCCAAAGTTAACAATTTCTTAGGAAACACTCATTTTTGACAGTGTGCCTTTAATTACTGGCCTTCACCAGGTTCTCCAAGTACTTACTGGGAAAACTGGGTATGTTGACGAGGCAACTATATTAATCTTTCAGTGATAAAGAACCTCAACTAAACCTTTACGCTAGCAACTGATTTTTTGGTAGCTAATACAGTGGTACCTCAGGTTAAGTACTTAATTCGTTCCGGAGGTCCGTACTTAACCTGAAACTGTTCTTAACCTGAAGCACCACTTTAGCTAATGGGGCCTCCAGCTGCTGCCGTAGCACGATTTCTGTTCTCATCCTGAAGCAAAGTTCTTAACCTGAAGCACTATTTCTGGGTTAGCGGAGTCTGTAACCTGAAGCGTATGTAATCTGAAGTGTACCTGAGGTACCACTATACACAGCCCTCTCAGTTGCCAATATCAGGCAGGTGAATGATCAACATTTGTGACACTGAAATCTTGTAGGAGGCCTGTTGATTGATTGATTGATTGTTAAAACAGCTTCTATGCATTTAAATGGGGGGGGAATAATGGGGCTTCCCCTCATTCACTTGCCAAAGTGGGTTTCTAGTAGTTCAAATCAGCTAGAAAAGGAGAGCTTCCTGATTAAAGATTAAGTCTAAACTAAATGAGCCATATAGTCCAGAAAGTTCCCTGTATCTTGGGCTAGCTGGCCACTCAACTTAGCAACCAGTGTTAAAAACTGAGATATATAAGCTAGGCGCCAAATGGCTCCTTAAGCCAGGGTTGCAGTCACCAAAACAGAATGCCTAGTTGCCATTTTGGGGTCAGACAGCTTGAAAATCATATTTTTCAATACAACTTTTTGGTTTCTGAAATTCGTTCTGATTGTGCAGATAAAATATAATGGACAGAGTTCTACAGGATGTGTTGTTAGTGTGTGAAAACAGTCAAGATCCAAGGATCCCCAGGCATGCACTTCCAGATGGTTCTGACGTCAGGCACCATTCTGGAGCCTGGGCATCTTCACTTGGTCGCAAGTGGCCAATAGTCAGGTGCAAAATGCGCCTGGCAAATTTCAAACACTGTTAGCAAGTATAAAGAATCACGTCAAAGACTGTAATATTAATCATATGTAAAGATAGAAGACAATGGACCAAATGCAGGAACATTTTGAGAGAATTCACAAAGATGAACATCTGAGGCATTCCTCTTAAGCAACTGTTTTAACTTGGTTAATGATGCTCAAGTACAATTCAGATGTGCATGTGATACCATGTGCCAGGTCCAGGTACATGCATATATAAATCACAGCTTTCCCCCTTTAAAACGTGTGAGCATGGAGAAATTGGATACCTGCCTCAAATACCTAGATGCAAATATGGCATCTTCCCAAACTGTCAGTGCCACTTCTCCCCTGAAAAATGCTGGCAGGTCGTGATCAGCTTGCAGGGAATAAAAGGGGAAAGATGGGCTCAAGCCTTCCCACACTCATCACTGGAGACAGGGAGATTGCAAAAGTGGTGGGCATGGGAAAGGGTTAAGCACTCCCACTCCTATCTACAACTACTTCTGTACAAATCACACACTCTCTCTCAATACTACTCCGAAAAAGAGAAAGAGAGGCAGCTGGGGCTTGAAAACACGACCTGGTGACAATGTGTAGTTCCCCCACTCCCATTCTTCTTCTTTTGTATATTTTTATAACTAATTAGCAAAATATTATAACAGCCACATGTTGCTCCAGCTTAAGAAAGCAAACGTCCTTCACAAGCCCTGCAGTTTTGCAGGGTTTTCATCAACCATCATTAAACATGGCTAAAAAAAAAGAATGCAGCCTAATGGATATTTAATTTATACCCTCAGATGAGAACTCCAAGTGTTCGCCTGCAAGGCTCCAGTATTTCAGCTGTTTCCCAAAATGTCTCAATTCAGGACAACCTGCTGCTCTTCTTCTGAACTAAGCACAGCAACTCTCTAGTGCCTACTTGTGTTCAGACTTTGACACAAGTTCTTTCCCTTTAGCCATGCTAACTTATTTTGCAGCGTTTAGCCAACTCACTTTTTGCAAGCTACATATGAGTATTTCTACTTCTTTTCCATCTGCAGAAGAGCTATGACCTATTACTACCACTGCACATTGATTCAGAGTCCGTGCTTCTGTGGTTACCTTGACAAAAGACCTTACACTCCATTATGTGTTCGACAAGACAGAGGAGGAAGGGAGAGGTTACGGATGGAGAAACTGTGATTGAGAAAGAGGTTTGCTAGAGCAGTCAATGAAGGGAGATGAAGGAGTTGCATGAAGGAGGTGCAGGAAGCATAGGGAACAGAATGGAAGAAGGAACAGAGAGGAAAAAGCAAAGAGTAACTCAGGGGTCGGCAACCTAAGGATCACTGGCCACAAGTGGCCCACGGGGGTTGTTTAAATGGCCCACGAGCCGCCCCCGAACCAAGCCGCCCGCTCAGTGAGTGCCTGCGCGCTGTGCTAAACCGGTGCAACGCGGCACAGGGATTTGCTTCCACAGTGCCAGAAATCATGGGCATGTGCGCGATCTGGCCTACAGAGGGATCTCTGCTGGAGTGAACCAGCCCAGGCGAGGTAAACCTTGCTGACCCCTGGAGTAACTAGTAGACTACATAGAGCAGACTTTCTCAACCCGCGGGTCCCCAGATGTTGTTGAACTACAACTCATCACCCCTAGCTAGCAAGGCCAGAGCTCAGGGATGAAGGGAGTTGTAGTCCAACAACATCTGGGGACCCACAGGTTGAGAACCGCTGATGTAGAGAAAGTGAAAGAGGTGGAGAAAATATACACACACCCCTATATGACACCCTATAACATAAAAAGTAGTCTGGGCACTTTACAATAAATAAGTAAAAAATCAACTGGCATTCCAAGTAAATAAATATAAAGGAAAATAAAACAATTAAGTCGGATGACCTACATAAATACCACACCGAAAGGACAGCAGACACATTCCAAATTAAAACAGTGTTTGAAAAAGAGCCTGAGGCTAAGGTATTTAAAGGTCTGGATGAACAAAGAGGTCTTCACCTGGCCCAGAAAAGACCATGACACCAGGCAAGTCTCCCAGGTAAGGTTATTTCACAACCTCTCAGTGGTGGTTACCCACCACAATTCATTTGGCAGCAAGAACTTCCAGGTTCAGGGAGATACGTGGAAGGATTGAAGCAGCAGATCTGTGAGGAGTAGCCAAAGTACAGAGAGCTGACGGAAAAGGATATTGTGATCACAGCAATTGGAGAAAGATGGATTTAGCAAAGGCATTTCCAACTGACTGGAGAAAAGGAGAGACAGCAGGAGGGGAGGCAAGCAAGGAGGCAATTTTATTTTATGTATTGGTTTTATTTCAAGCGCTGATACCTGTACAGAGCCCTCTTGACTGGGCAAGTTAATCTAAACTAAATAATGTTTGTTCTGGCTGGCTGAACTAACTGGTCCCAGCGGAGGGTCTATATCAACTTTGCCTTCCCAATACAGAAGTATTTGAAGCGAGTGGGAGAAGAGTTATCACAATTAAGGGATAACTAAATGGGCATTTATCTCTTTCTATATTGTAGCAGGAGGAGGCTGGAACTGGGGCGAGCTGACAAGTTGTGAGTTATTTATAGTAGAGCCACAGCCAAGAAGTTGGACATCTTGGCTTTCACTCGTTTAGAATGTGGGCTCCCAGAACATGATTCTTGTTTAATAGTATGAAAAGATGTCCCTTCCCAAAGCCTTTTGATGAGCCAGGCTACAAATCTAAAACTCTTGCCCAGACCAGAGTGGCTGGGGAAACCCAGCCAGATAGGCAGGGTATAAATAATAAATTATTATTATTATTATTATTATTATTATTATTATTAAACAAGTTAGCTAGCGCTAGATTTTCCCTACACTAGGGCTGGGTGATATCTGCTTTCCAACATCGTAATATCCTGCTAGCTAAACTTCGCGGTATGGCGGTATATTAAGATGTCAGAAAAGAGGCGGGGAGGAAGAAGGCAGTTGCTGGTCAGAGATGTTTGGCATCACCTTGCAACAGCTTCTGCCTCTTCCTGGCAAGGCTAGGTGGGCGGTGCCACGCCAGGTGGAGTGCTCACTCCTACGATAGGCTCGCTGCGGCACGGTCCCGCTTGGCGCAAGGAGGAACAGAGGGAGGAGGTAGCCTGCCAGTGCTTGTGCAGCCAGGGAAAGAAATGAAGGCATTGGCTGGCTGGCAGGCAAGCCACACTTTTTAGGCTGGCGGCTGGGCTGCGGAGGGAGGGAGTGGGTTAGCAGAGGCGACTATCATGTGGCCTGATTGAAGTGTGTGGTGTTGGCTGTGAGGAGGGCTGGGGGGATTCGGGATACACTGCCGGATCGGAAATTCCGAAATCAGTCTCATGATTTTAACTTTAAATTGTGGTTTCAGGCAATGTATTGATACCTCGCCCAGGCCTACTCTACACTAGTGAGAATACGTGCAATGCTCCTTGAGAATTCGCACATCTCCAATTCTCTAGGACTAGGAGCATTTCCACATCTAAATGCAGTGCAGAAGGCAAGTAGAAACTCAAGAAGAATGCATCCTTGGCAAATAGCTTTCTAGCCTTTCTGAAATATGTATGAGTCACAACAGAAATCATTCCCAGTCAGGGTTGGTTTTTTATTTTGGTTGGTGTTGTTTTTTGTTTTGTTTGTTTGTTTGTTTTTTGGCCTGTTTACTTATTTTAATGGAATGCAAAATCACCCTGCTTTTCTCTAAAAAAGAGATCCTGGACAGGTATAGAAGAGCACACACACACACACCCCTTGCCAATACAGCCACTTGTATGACACAGGATGGCTTGAATGGTTAATCTGTCATGCTACTTATCCCTCAATCTTATCTTTCAACTGTTCCCAGGCAGTAGATGAGTAGCTATGGGTAAGAGAACGGTAGCCCCCAACAGCAGGCCAATATGTTGGGGTGGGATCACACCATGTAGGCGGAGCTCACTGCAAGGACACTACAACAGGCCTTAGTAGCCACCATTATTTTTCCTCTGACCAACAATTCCTGCCCATGCATTTTTCATTTATCCTACCCAGTGTAAGCGCTATAATATCATGCAACTTAGTAGTGAGGGTTGCCATCATAACTCACAGTAGTCAGGGAGAGGGCAGCACTTAGAAGTCACCATTATGTTAGGCCAGTAGTAATGAGCAGGAGAAAAGGAAGTTTAGCATGTAAAGCTTTTTTAAAAAAAATTTTTTAGCAAACTTTTAAAAGCCTCTGGTGTTATCTCATTTGCAGGCCACAATGTATCTAGCGCTCTACTGCCTAAAGCAATTTAATTACTGTAGTCCTTGATCTCACAATAAGAGGCAAGCAACAAAACACCTGATTTTTCTGTAGCACAGACTCTTCAAGAACAGTGACACAAAATGCAGAACTTTGGAAAGGGACGGCATGGGATCTTACTACTCTATTAGATCTATCAGACAAGTCACACCACCAAAGCCATGCCCTAAAACGTGAACTGATGCTAGGCTTCTCCACTGGGCCCACAACAGGGCCAAGCATATTTAACACCTGGCAGGTGTAGACACGGATGGGCCGAAAGGGGGTCTGCAACCACTGATCGGTAGCAGCACCACCACTATCAAAGTTTTGTGCAAAGCCCCATGCACAGCACTTTCCAAGAACTGAAAATCAGCTGTTCATCAGTGTATGCAAAATGCAGTGCCTTTGCCAACACGCGGTTTGACCTCTAACTGCATTGACAAAAATGGGTCATCTAATGCCATTGTGGCATCAGATGACTGGCATGTGGGCAGCCCAGCCCTCTTGTCAAACTTGGCCAGTAGAGTGTAGGGGTCATAAGGATCCAGCCCACCAACAGAATCCACTTCCCCATCTTTGATTTATGCCATATCTACTTACCAAGGTTTGCTGCTTGTATATCCACGGGGAGCCCTAATTACACAGACACAGAAAGAACCAAACTATACACATCTGTTAAGTTAACAGAACTATAGGATTTGATCCAATCCATTTATTGTATTTAGGGCAGGGGGGTGGATGTATAATCGAGTGAACAAAGCAGTCAGATATAGATTAAAGCTCACCTCAGCTACATTTGGGTGCAATGCTAAGCCACAAAATAGCATATGCTTAAGCACACCGGGCGCAAACTGTGTGGTGAGGCAAGCAGGTCAGAGTGCTCCAGTTTCTCACCTCCTTCAGTCAAGCAAACCACAGAACAGATAGTTCAGCATTGCACCTGAACCAGCAGGTGTTTCTCCCAAATAAACCACAACTGGGAAGCCAAGGGGAAAACTATGGTTTCCCAATCATAGCTGATCTGGAGAGAAACTTCCAAGTGCTGATTTGGATTCAATGCTATAAGCCAGCTGCTCTGTGGTATGAGAGCAGCAAAGTGGGGGAGCTCAAGCTGCAGGCTGCAGCTTGTGCATAGTATTTTAAACAAACCATCCTATGCGGCCTAGCACTGCGTCTGAACACAGCAACTTTGTGGTCTTGAGTAAAGTCACTTATCTCTCAACCTCCATTTCCTATCTAGAAAAGGCAAGCAGCAAAAATCTCCCCTCCCAGGTCTCTTGGAAGTGCAAAGGCTATGGAGCGGTTTGAATTATGAGAAGCATTCTCAGATTGATAAATAGGAAGTACTAGCAGCAGGGCAGGCCTTATTTTTCAAAACTGTAGCTCTCACCGCAAATTTGCTTGAATTTCAGTTACAAGAACCATCTTAGCAAAACTGTATTCGCATGGCTTAGCATAAGTTCTTGTAAATTAGATGGCAGCTCCTAAAAAAAAAAATTAGTAGTCTGCCTTTCCATATACAGTGGTACCTCAGGTTACATACGCTTCAGGTTACATACGCTTCAGGTTACAGACTCCGCTAACCCAAAAATAGTACCTCGGGTTAAGAACTTTGCTTCAGGATGAGAATAGAAATTGTGCTCCAGCGGCATGGCGGCAGCTGGAGGCCCCATTAGCTAAAGTGGTGCTTCAGGTTAAGAACAGTTTCAGGTTAAGAATGGACCTCCAGAACGAATTAAGTACTTAACCCGAGGTGCCACTGTATGTAGGTTAGTTATATCTATCATATCAATGGCTAGATCAACTACTGTTTTAGATTTCACAAACGCTTCCTTGCCCAATCACCTCCCTTTAGTAACTGGCTGAGTTACTATGGTACATAAAACATTCAAAAATATTTTGTTCTGAAGTTTGGGATGGGCGGGCAAGGATCATCCCGTCAATTTTGGCATGCTAGGGTCTAACAGATCAGTGGAAGGGACAATCTGGATTATACTGTCCCTCAATCTGGACTCAACAACCACCTAAAACGGTGGTGGTTCTCAAAGTATAAGGCAAACCTTCCTCAGAGGAGGTCACGTTCTTCCCCAACGCCTCCTGACTTACATCACTGGCATTCACTGACCAATTCTCCATTAAGGCAGCTTGTTCAACTGCCCAGGGCAATTGTTAGAGATTACACATGTGGACAGGTGTCTAACCTGTCTATGTTGCTGGGCTGTATCATTTCAGACTGCAGATGAGGATTAAATGCCTGAATGCTTCCCCACAGAAAATACTCTACAACACATTCAGAACTATTATATCAGGGAAGAGATTATAAGCTAGTCTTCTCCCTGACACGCTTGCACTGAATGTGAAGGGCCTATTCTTTTAAGCGGGAGAGTATTCAAACATTTGATTCCACATACAGCCTCAAATGGTACAGCACAGAAGCAGATAAAGCATGTGAAACTTCTGCAATAGCTCTCTGTATCAGGTGTTAAAAGGAAAGCATTTCAGGCGAGTTTCTGTTCCAAGCAGTGTTAGAAACTCAGATAAATAAGCTAATCGCCAAATGGCACCTTAAACCTAGGTTACAGTTGCCACAACAGAATGTCTAAGCCCTATTGCCCCCCCCATGAAATTTATTCTTCTTTTCATTTCTATACCATTTGATATTTTAAAGAAAAAAATCTCAAAGCAGTTTACACACAGCACATTAATACATCAAATAAAACAATCCAGAAAAAAAAAATTCAACATTCAAGGTAAAATATTTCAGATCCTTCTCTAAGGGGCATTTTGCTTTCCATATATATATATATATATCTCCAGCTGCCCCATAGCAGAAGTACCCTAGGAAGCCAGTGTGATATAGTGGCTGGACTAGGACCCGGGTTAATCCCTACTCAGTCATGAAAATCACTGGGTGACCTTGGGCCAGTCATAACCTCCTAACCTACCTCACAGGGTCATTGTAGGGATTGACTGAGGAGAGGAGTGAACCATGTACCCCCTGGAGAAAAAGGTAGGATATTAACGCAATAAATAAGGTCTTCTGCTTAAGAAAGCTGGAGAGGCCAGCCAGCTGGAGATGTCAGTCGCCAACCTGGCAACCAGAGATCTCCATGTGGTCACAACTGGAGCAGCTCCAGTCAGAAAACGTGCCTGGGGAGTTTCTAACACAAATTCCAACATCCTCTTAACCCCCTGCCCCATCCTTTTCTTATAGTATGTTTGGAGAAGGGTGAGAGCTGCCACCCAGAAAGTTAGGCACCTTCAGTTTGGTCTGTTATGTACCTCGGAATGTTCAGGCCACCGACACTGATCTGTTTCCTAATATGCCAAAGGGAATTCTACATTCTCTAGGCCAACTGACTTCCCACTTTGAATAGATTTTTGAATGATGCTTTGGTAGTTGTAAGCCCACCATTTTACAACACAGCTTTTAGCTTGGAACATCCCTGGCTCATGAGCGGTCCACAGAACAGGCAACCTACTCCTGTACAGCAGCCATTATTCCAGACCTTTTAAGACAGTCCTCCAAATAACTTTACCGAATTACTAGTTCACACTATTTCCCCCCCACTAGCTTTGCTGCCCACACATGTCAATGTTAATGATGTTTGGCTGAAAAGAAAATAAGAACCACTTTACAAAAACTTCCCTGCCTGATCACTTGGAAGCAATTCATACCCATCATGGGTGCCTAGTTGAGTGGCTATTTTTTAAAAACCCTGCTTTTAACTTATCACTCCCACCCTCTCTGCATGCCATGCAGTTGGTAACTTACCCATAAATCCCCTCACAGCTTGGTGAGAAATGCTGACAAGAGTGATTTGGCGTGATGCTAGCACATCATCATCTCTTCCATCAACTCCTTGTTCCAGTAACACTTTACTCTTAGGTTTCTCTCTACTCTCACCCACTTCCAAACATAACTGACTGAGCTAAGCTTTCTCCAAAGAAGTATGCCAAAATACCATGGTAAGGCACACTAAGAGATTTCACACTCACGTCTTAGTTATGGTCCTCTTCCCAGAAGTACCATCAGAGCCTAAGTCTCAAAATATTTAGCAAGTGGCAAGTGATGGACGATCTTTGTTTAGCCAAGTGGTCATATGAATGAGTAACGAATGTTAACAGGTGTGGGTTTGGGGGTTTTTCGTGGAGGGTATGTCCAAATGGAGCCTTTTTAATATTAAATGCTGTTATACATTCAGAACTTTTGGGGACTGGGTGGCTTAAAAGTCTAAAATCTCCTGATTATCAGTTTGCTTTGCACACAACCCTTTATTAAGTACACTCAGTTGCTTATTTTGGTTGTGCCTCCAGATGGTTTGAAAACAATTTGGATGAGTTACATAGGTGCTACAACAACATAAGCAAGGCAGCACTTTTGTAAGTCAAAAAAAGGCACAGCAACAACAAAGACTGGAGGTGCTGACAACTTCTGTATTTGATGGTTTGTCCAGATGTTACGATGGTCAGTTTCAATACAGGAGAAGATATTCCTATGTCTTCAGCAGCCGCAGAGCAGAAAAACTTTCAGCAGCTGCAGCTTTACCCATTACTAGAAGACTGTGACAGCTGAAGCTGCAAAAAATTCTCTCTCATATGCAACTACCACACAGGAGCCACTTTTGATTCTTAATCTAGTTAGTCCATTTATCTGCTCTCTCAAGACCTCTGGGAGTAATGGTAAGTTAAACTGTGAAATAACTATTAAGCCTCTCTTCTTTTTCTTCCTTTCAGAATCGAACTCACTGCACCGCATTCATCATGAAAATTATCACTCTTTGCTGGATCAATGAACGGGGCGGCAAAGTATACGAAAAGGGCCTCTATTTTGTTTTCTAACTCTCTCCACCTCAAAGGCTCTAAGTTTTCAAAAGTAAACTTACACATTCCACAACTCCAACTGACTTGTGTGGTGGAGGAGATTTTAGAACAAGAGAGGGAACTCAAAAGCCAACTCATGTAAACCTGTCACAGGGCACACCCACCCATTCATTGGCATGATCTCTGATCCTAAACTTTCCGATCCCTACAAAAAACAAAACAAAAACTTGATGCTATCATTACCATTTTAACAGGTGTGGGAAGTAGAAGCCCTTACCCACAGACTACCTGGCTTTTTTCTCCCCCACCCTCCAGTCTTTTACCAGTGATTTCACACCATGTCTCCCAAATCCAAAACCAAAACTCATTGGACCATACAAGATCCCAGTCAAGGTTTCAAGGATCAAACGCCGCCTCTCCAGACAATTCCTTTATTAACGTAAGGAGTACAGATCTATTTCTCCCAACCACTTTTTCCATCATTCAGTTAGAGGGGGTGGGGGTGCATCAGAAGGATGGAGCTCTTACCTGTTGGCCTCAGTAAGTAACTTCTGCCACTTTGTTCGCTATCAGAATAATCAGGGGTAGTAGGCCAGTGACCCAGGCAGGTGAGGTGAGTGGGGTATTAACGTAGGCAAAAAAAGACAACCCCCTCCCTCTCTACTCCACCATCATTCCTGGCCCCCTTCTTCCTTTCCCCTTGTGAAAGCTTAGCAACAGCACTCGCGGCTCACTATTTGGCAGCATGTCTCCTCTTGCAATTCTTTCCCCCTTGCGCAGCTGCGGAGGATCATTATTCCGCAAGGCCCCTGCAGCAACATTATGCGCAAGCGCAACAGGAAAGGGATAGGAGGTACGGGAGGGGGGGTGGAGAGGAGATGAGAGAAGGGAAGCCAGGAAGCTGCAGGATGTGGCTGTTGCCCTTCCACTCCCCTTTGCGCAGGCGCAGTGGGGCGGAGTGCTACAAAACTTTTCGCGCCGCATGCGTGCCCTGGACCTCACCTGCGCCTCCTTCTCCCGCACGACGCCGAGCGCACAGTAAGGCGCCTGCGCAGCTCCCCGGCAACCGTTTGAACCTAAGGCGCATGCGCCTGCAGTTCCAGCGGCACAGAAACCCCACGGCGCGCGCATGCGCACTTCTCGCCCGAGGCTTCTTTCTCTCTGCCCCGCCCCTTCTCCCTGCGTCAGGCCTTTCCAGCTCATTATCTTGCGGCCGGTCGCCCGCGGCCGTTAATATACGTCTCCCTTTGTCCCTACGGCACGGCGAGCCACATCCGCCGCCCTTTCCACCTCACCTGACAGCGATATGCGGTAGCTGCGACCGTCCCCTTGTGGTCTCCTCATAGCGCCCTGACCTGACACATCCGGGACTCTCCCGTGACGTCGCCACGACGCTACATTCACTCAACAGGAGGAGGGGAGGTATTGCGCATGCGCCGCAAGGGACCTTCCCTGGAAAGAAAAATTGGCGGGAAAAACAGCAATTCGTCGAAATGCAGATTTTAGATTAACGGAGTGGGAAAACATAAAGGAGAGGTGCGGCAGGCAGACGGTGCACACTTGTTCCTCAGATGCGTTTGAAACCCCTGGATTGCTATTCTGAGTGACTACACGTATTGTGTACGAGTTACATATATCAAAAGCACAACTCTTTAAGTGCAGACTCTCCAACATTTCTCTGATAAAAATAGGTTCGTCCTATTCTATTTCTTCTATTAATATTATTAAAATTTATTTATTTGGTTTTTCAAATTAAATTTTTACAGTCACATATCCAACATACAACATATAAACAAGATGCCAAAGAATCTCCTGGGCTTCCTACCCTTTGTGGGTCCTGTTGTTAGTCATTTCCTCCTGCATCGTTTATAATAATCCAAATCTTTTACTTCTCCAATATTTCCAAAATTCACCATTAAACTACAAGTGTTATTTCAATCCTGCTAACGATTTGAAACCGTTTACAATGCCTTTTAAGATAAATGGTAAATTTCCCCCATTCCTTGTTAAAATTTTGGTTTTCATGATTTCTGATTCTTCCGGTCATTTTTGCCATTTCAGCATAATCTATTAACTTAAGTTGCCATTCTTCTCTGGTAGGGACTTTATCTTATTATTATTATTATTATTACACCCTGCCCATCTGACTGGGTTGCCCCAGCCACTCCAGGCAGCTTCCAACGTATATAAAAACATAATAAAACATTAAGCATAAAAAAAAATCCCTATACAGAGCTGCCCTCAGATGTCTTCTAAAGGTTGTATAGTTACTTATCTCCTTGGCTTGGGAGGGTTGCATATCTCCATCCCCCCCAACGTTTCTCCGATAAAAATAGGGACGTCCTAAAGAAAAGTGGGACGTTGCGGTATCAAATCAGAAACCGGGACGGCTTCTGTAAATCCGGGACTGTCCCTAGAAAATAGGGACACTTGGAGGGTCTGGTCACATACTTTGTGGACAGCCTCAGTCAGTGCATCACTTTCCCAAAATTGGAGCAGACGAGCCAATGGTAACTGAAGAAACGGAAAACAGCAGAAGCGCCCCCCCCCTTTCTGACTTCCTTTAACGCTTCCACAAATGACAATATTTTGGAGGTCCCAAGTCACAAGGTGGTTAGATTGGTCTCAACTAGGGCCAGGGCCTTTTCAGTACTGGCCCCGACTTGGTGGAATACTCTGTCACAAGCGACTAGGGCCCTGCGGGACTTGACATCTTTCCGCAGGGCCAGCAAGACAGAGCTGTTCCGCCTGGCCTTTGGTTTGGACTCGGTCTGACCCTTATGTTTCCCTCCCCTTGTGGTTTAGATCTATGGGCTACTTTTAAAATGCATTTTAAATAGAATTTTAATCTGTATTTTAAATTGGTCCCCTCCCCCATTATGCTTTTACTGTAATTTTTACTGGTGTTAGCCACCCTGAGCCCGGCTCTGGCTGGGGAGAGCAGGGTATAAATTAAAAAAAATATTATTATTATTAATGCAAAAGGAGAGACCAGAATTCCAATCCCCCTTGTTAAGTTGTGGGTGAACATATCAGACGACACAGCGATTCTTCAAACAGCTCTTGTTTATTCACAGGCCAGAACAGAACTGAACTGAAGGGTTCAGCCAGCCTGCTTATATAGAGCTCCACTAGAACGCAACAGTAACCATTTTCTGTAACTATCCAATCACTGAACGTCACTTTCAATCCCTTATTTGCATATGTGGACCTGAGTGAAAACTATCTACAGTATCCCCCTGCTGGCCCAGGGTGAGAACTTCAGTACATAACACTCCTCTAAATCGTAGAATTGTGGAGTTGGAAGGGACCCTGCGAGTCATCTAATCCAGCCTCCTGCAATGCAGGAATCTCGACTAAAGCATCCATGATAGATGGCCAGGCCATCCAATCTCTGCTTAAAAACCTCCAGTGAAGGAGAGTCCTCTTTGTGTGTGCAGAAGAGCCCCCATACCGAAGTGTGGAACAGTGAGTGGCCTTTTCATACTGTGATTGCAGGGAAAGAAGCTGTGCTCTTTCAATGGGCACGCAGCTCTTGTCAGAAATAAATGTATGGTTGCTGCTGGCAACATGGTGTGTTTATGAATTCCTGCTTTTAATCCATGAAGCAGACGGTTTAGGAGCAAAAGGAGTCCTTTGATTCTGAATTCTGAGACTCGTGAGCAACCTGTATCAAATTAAACCACAAAGGTACTGCCTACGCCGCATAGGCTTTTGAATGAAACTTTGACGGGGTTAAAGATGCAGACTTTCAAGGTGCCCACAGGCAATATTTAATTCTTCTAAGGTAGGATACTGCAGGTTGTTGGTTTTCTTTTTAACAGCAGGCTTCTTAACTCCACCTTGCGCTTACTATTACAATTGCTTTTCTTCCTAAAATGAAATAGGTGAATCAATCTTATTGTTGTTCTCATATTACAGATCGGGAAACTGAGGTTGAGAGACTGGATAAATCTCCCCTGCCTTGTTCTTGAGCCCGTAGTGGAAATTCCACCAATCTGTCTCCAGTTCTCATATGTGGGAGAATATCCACTGAGGAAGGGCAGAGAGCATAAAATGCTTAAGAGAGTTGTGGGTGTGAGTGTGAAGATTACAAATCCTTTTAGAAAAAACGTGAGGGTCTTTACTTGTATCATGTATACTCTTCTTTCTCTCTTCTTTGGCTATCACTCATAGCCGAGTAAGATTGTCCTCCATGAACACAATCTTAACAGTAAGTCTGTAAGTGACTGTGGAGGTCAATTCTGGATCCACACATCCTTCCACAGTGGGGACATAGGTTTCCAGGCGGGAGTTGATCACGGTGAGGGTGTGCCAAGCGTGCCTTCCTCTTTGCATGTTTCTCCCTTTCGTCCTGAGTTTGAGCATCTTCAGAGTCTGGCTGTTATCCAACTAGAGCACTCACAGGCCAGTGTTTCCCAGTTGTTGGTGTTTATACTACATTTTTTTAGATTTGCCTTGAGAGTGTCTTTAAACCTCTTTTGTTGACCACCAGCATTACGCTTTCCATATTATTATTTTTTTCACTTCATCTTTATTGGTTTATTTTAACAAACATTCATAAAATCACATTATAACGTTTCAAATTTTCCTGTCATGTGATCCTAAAACATAATGAAGAAAACAAAGGTATATTCTTAATCATTTGATTCATTTGTATTCCATTTACATCTGACTTCCCTCCCCTTCTTACTTGGTTCCTCTATTTTGTTTAATTGAGTGCCTGTCATAACATATCTGTATACTTAGTAACCTACTTTTCTACTATACAGCGTTTTAATATTTCTCCTTACAAGAGTTATTCTAAACCAGTCAAAATTTATACTTCTCCATAATACTCTTTTCAAATACTGTTTAAATATATTCCAATCATTTTTAATTTTTTGTTTCATTTGATCTCTTATCTGCGCTGTCAGCTTATCCATCTTAGCATACTCAGCATATGCTTTCCATTTTCCATGAGTATCTTTTTCCAAAGCAACTATTTTATTCAGAGCATTTTTAAGCTCAGAATAAAATAGTTGCTTTGGAAAAAGATACTCAGGCATCCGAACAACACGACTAGTCCAACAAAGTTGATGTTGAAGAATCATCGCTTCGACACTGGTGATCTTTGCCTCTTCCAGAACACTGGCATTAGTTCGCCTGTCTTCCCAAGTGATGTGTAAAATTTTTCGGAGACACCGTTGATGGAATCTTTCGAGGAGTTGGAGATGGCGTTTATAAGTAGTCCATGTTTCACAAGCATACAGTAAGGTTGGTGAGTACAATAGCTTTGTAAACAAGCATTTTGGTTTCACTGTGAATGTCCCGGTCCTCAAACACTCTGCACTTCAATTGGGAGAAAAGCTTCACTTGTAGAGGTCAGGCGATGCTGGATTTCAGCATCAGTGTCGGCCCTTGTGGAAGGGTAATTGCCCAGGTAGGAGAAGTGATCGACACTTTACAACATTATACCATTGGGTTGGATTTGTGGTGCTGCAGAGGGGTATACTACACATGTCAGCAATAGAGACATTTTCAGTCACCCTGATCAAGTGAATATAAGCCGTGTGCAGAATCAGATTTCTTCATGCAGATCTTCTATACAAGATGCTCCAGTGTTGCAGCTGGAGAGGCAGGGAGTTCATCTAGCAGCTTTGGAATATACATGGAACCCTTTCCGTCTCCCCCATTCATATCCCCCAAGAGTTTGTCCTGTATTGTGCTAGACACTGTAGATCCATGATTACAGCCACTTTTCTACTGTTCCTTTGAATCTCTGGAGCAGGAATCCTTCTTCCTGGAGAGTTGTCAGTCTGTCTTCACAAACAGAAGCCATAGAAACTTTATGCATGCTGACTTCATCACCTGTTTTGGTGCAAATCTGCAAAAACAAAAACCCCAGAAGGTGATAGGTTTAAATAACAGGAAGAGAAAGATTTAAATGACAACAACATTTTTCTTCTGCTCCACCCATCTGACTGGGTTGCCCCAGCCACTCTGGATGGCTTCCAACAAAAATACAGGAAAAACAACAACAGTAGCTGCAGTAACATCAACATTAAAAAGCTTCCCAAAACTTTAGAGGTCTACAAAAGACTCTTTGACATCTGGCAGGGCTGGAGAGCATTCCACAGGATGGGTGGGACTACCGAAAGGGCCTTCTGTTGGTTCCCTGTAGTTTCGGAGCTGGACCTCAGTTTCCAGGCTGAACAATGGATGGCATGGGAGTTCAAATACCAGTTAAGCCATTCTTTCTCAGCCTTGGTACCTTCAGATGATGGTTGAGTATGATAAAGTTCAAGTGTCACCCTAGTACAGGTAATGCAATCTGTATGGAAAACAAAATGCCCACAAGTGAGTCTGAGCCACCTTCTACACAGAAGACAGCTAGATGGCATTCTGCAGTGAATTGGTTCATGTTCTTACCACAGAGATCTGCATATGGACTTCCGTGGTGGCGCCATCGGTAATGGCGGATTCCCTCT